TCTCCATATTTTCGACATAGTAATTACGTATATGTGAGAGCACGATATATAAAAACATCCACATCGGAGTTGAAATCACCAACTTTCCACCAATCTTGTTCATCAGCAATAAACTTAACACATTTTGCGAAACAGACAATAAATACGAGCCAATCAGAAACAGAGTAGGGCGGGTCTTAGCGGAATGCTGGTTGGGAATAAAATCCATCCAACTACCATGAACAATAGGGCACAAACTGCAAACGGTTTTATTGCTAGTGTGCTATTGGTTAAGCCAGTGGTGGCTAATGTTGCCTACGCCGGCTGTAAACACTTTTAAAAAGGTACTTGCCAAAATAAGAGCCTTTTTAACAGAAACACAGAAGTGCACACACTTACTACAAAATGTGGCAAGTGTGCGGCTGATGAATGTCGACAACAAAAACAAAACCTCTTTCATCGCTCTGGATGACACCTGTCAGTGCTGGACATAATGGACATTAGCCAGCTGTTTCCATCAAGGTACAAACTGTTCATCTCTGACATTAGCACAGAAAGTTGCTGAGGGATACTGCTTCATATGTTGAGTCCTTTACGGGCTGCAAAGGTGCAGCATTGCTGCAAAAAGCCTCGACATTTCAAGGCTTACATTAATAGCCCTATGCCAACTACACATAGCGAGGTTTACTCTCTTGTCATCACCTACCATCCCTCCCACGCTTTCAGCTTCCCCAGCCTATTGATGCTGCAACACAAACATAATCAAAATAGGAATACTGAGAAGCCACTGAAGATGTGTGTGTACATTAAGGAGTGCTTGGTGAGGATGAAATCAAATTTGACGCAGCTACTCCTCTCCTGGGAGACGCGGTAGGTAGCGGAGATGAGGGCAAAGTGATCACTGACATGCTCTTTATTAAAGGGCTAACCTCACACTCACTGATGCCTGATCAGTGGGAGCCAACCTAAAGGCTCCTGTATGCTCGCCTGGCTTGCTCTCCTAATGCTGTTGAATAGGGTGCTGAATGCAACTGCCAGGATACTCCAACATCTACAGCCTCTAAAAGGTTTCATCTATATGCTACTTTATGTGTATTTAAATTTGAGCATAAGAACACCTGAATGGAAGTGCCAGAAATGCTTTAACACTTAATCATTATCTAGCAATAATAACGTGTTTCCTTTGTAGCAGATAGCTCTTGCCCATGAGGGAAGTCAAACGTTCCTATTCTTTGTGAGTTTGCAAGCAAAAGAGACTTACATGCGTTGCTCATTTGAAGGTAGCGCTTCTAAACTGAGATGTTTCAGTATATCTCAGCCTTGATACATTTGCTGACATTGGCGCTTCCTTCCATGATTGGTCACACCCGAAGGCGCTTCCCAGCGGGAGTTACAAAAACGTATTTCAAGCCATTTATCTTGCAGATCGGTCTGGAAGAAACATTCTAGAGCCCTTCCACACGTTCAACTTTTTACTACATTTCATACCTGTCAACATCTATCTATGACCTTTTGTTCATTTCAACTGCAAATTGTTCGGTGTCCTGCTGTTGCAAAGTACTTCAACCAGGCAGGAAAGACAATGTCAAATGTAAAAGAACTTGACATTGTAAACGTGCGTTCTTCACGCCCAATACTAAATCACCGCAGAGAGCACCCCTAATCGGGCCATGATGTGGCATTTTTATTTGCATGTAAACACACACAGTGTGAGCTCAGACAAAAACGCGGTCAAGCATTTTATTCGTCAAACAGTTGTAAACGACTGAAATGAGAAATATTACTATAAGATGCAGTTGTATCCAGCTTGAACAGTTCTCCAGCTGATTCCGACATTAAGGGCCGGGTTATGCTCCAAATAAACAAGTTCACATGATGTGTTGTTCGACGTGATAATCGTTTAAATATGGAGATAATGGCACACATCAGTAGGGATGCACTGATCCGACTTTTTCAATCTGGATACTGATACCTGGGCTTCAGTCATCGGCCGATCTGATACCAGTGTTTAATTAATAAGCTGTTTGTGTCACTGTGTGGAAGTGACTGAGATCAGTTTGTTTTGTGTGTAAGGCGACATCAGGCTTGACTTTAACATTGCTTTAGTAAAACAAAATATTACCAATAAATAATTAGAATATAAATAGATATAAATTCAAAGAATTGTTATTTATTATTAAAATAATAAACGGTACACTAACAACTTGTAATAACAATGTGTCTACCAGTGGAGGTTGAATATTTTACCGTAATACTAGACGCAGACATGTAAAAAAACACTATTATTAGGCTCCCCGATTTGCTTTATTAGTCAGCACTTTCCCAAAAGTCTTCAATAACTGAAGGAGAAGAGCTTAAACTGATTAAATTCAAATGTAAAAAACACGGAAAATCCTGTCCTCATGCGCCTCCCTGTCATCGTGAGACTGATTCGATGTGGGTTGTATTCTATTCTAATTAAAGACAGTCAACATCGTCATTAGTCATCGACGAGCTTTTCATGCTCTCCATAAATCACACCTTGGAAATCTTGGAGATCTTAATTTTACAGCTTAACCTCATTGCTTGTATCATTCATACACACTCGACTTGCAGTTTGGATATTTCCAGCAGCATTTTAACACGGCAAAATGTTAGTTGAGATGTCAACTGAGTTGCTAATTTATGGCTAACAACATGAGTCTGTCACTGTCAGCTCTTTACAGATGCACAGATCGGTGACAAATTAAACTGACGTGTCTCAGTAAGGTGCTTTGCTACCACGAGCCTCCAGAACAGCTTCAGAGTTCTTTGGCAATACATCACACTGGAAGGATGAAATTAAAATCATAATTGAAATTCATTCAGAGTAATTTCTTTGACAACAGAGTTTCGCAAAACGGTACCACTTTTTACAGACGAGTCAAAGAAATAAGAAATAACATATTTTTTTAAATCAGATTTTATACTAAACAAAATATTCTTAAATATTCCAATAAATATAATAAGACATCTGTGGTTTTATGTAATAATAAAAAACAAAAAAAGTAAACTACATCTGACAAGACACACAAGGGACGTTGTGGTTGCTGAATCCACACAAAAGACTGTCTGGACGAGTGCGGCCGCCTCCCACTGCTTCAATTACACTAAAGATGAAACAGATAACAAAAACTAGGTCTCCGATAATCCTTGAAACAACCCCCTTTGGTTAAATTAAATTTGAATAAAGATAATAAATACTGAAAAGGGGAAATTTGTACAGTTCATTTTAAATTACAATACAGTTTGAGCTTCAAAGCAAGTTGTGCAGTGCAGCAAGAAAAACATTGACATTTAAAGACTTAAATGGGGTCTGTAATAAACCATTATGGATGTGTCATCCTGATGGTGGATCAGTGCTTTTAAAGAGGCGCAGAGCAAAGACAGGACTCCAATAACCAGCAACTGCTGCACGACAGGACCAAATCCTCAGATTAATGGCAAAAGACGTGTTAGTAGTAGTAGTACAGAGAGAAGACTTAAGTCCACGGATATGAACACAAAAGGAGAATGCAGTCATAATATGTTGGTGAATCTCTCCTTGTTTGGGCATCTTGGCAAAGCCTGTGCAGCTGCAACTACAGCAGTGACAGAAACAGAAGTTTGAGAAGAGAGACGAAGAAAAAGAGGAGCAAGGCAAGGAGTGAAGAAGACAAGAGGAGGGAGGGAAATCAACCAATAAGAAAGGCAGAAAAAGGGGGAAAAAACGAAAGATAGTAGGGCGATAGAGTCAACACTTACCAAACACCCAGTCATGCTAAGCCCCAGCCCGTCACCACAGCTACAGCGCAGCAGACTTGCATGTTTACATCGACAGCCGGATCCCTCGAAGGTCTTTCTCTCAACAATCACAGGACAACCTCACGTGAAAGCACAGAGGGAAGGAAAAAAACTAACTCACACGAGCCTAGTCTCTGACCTCCATCTTTACACTCTCACTCACCCTCTGATTTGCCTCTCCAACTCTGTTAAATACGGAGGAGAACGATCTTTTTACAGTCCCGACTGCATGTTTCCAGCCAGTCCCTCTAAAAGCAACAGCTCAAGCAGGCTACTCGCTCTTCCTGCTTGCCTGCAGGGATATCTGCACTAACCGGAAGAGCCGCTGAGGAATACTCTAGGGAAGGAAGTGACATCGACAGGTACTCCCTCTTTCTTTCTTTCTTTCTTTCTTTCTTTCTTTCTTTCTTTCTTTCCTTCCTTCCTTCCTTCCTTCCTTCCCTACTCATGTAAACAACACCCGCTTTCCTGCTGCAAGCCTAAATGGGACGTCCGTGGGCTATTTGACATTAATTAATTGCCTTCTCTGGTATATATTATCAAACTTAACTCAACTTAAGTGTCATTCTGGGGGGGTAAAGAGGTATGCGAGATGTCCCAGGGGGAAATTATCATAATTAATAATAGACTAAATCTCTTTAACCCAGTTTGCCCTGTGCTGAATTCTCAAGAATATGGAGGGCTGGAACGAAGCCAGAGCAGAGGAGTGTGTGCATCTGTGTGTGTTTAACAGAAGGTAGTGTGGATGAATCATAGAGAGGGAGTGAGTCAGAGGGCATGTCCCACCACAGGCTCACAAACCCTGCTCGAGATGATCTTCCTGGTTGTCCATTGACGCAAGCCAGGCCACGACTGCAGCCACCAAACAACCTAAAGCTCCCAGTCAAACTTATTCCACTTCAAGGCAACGAAGTAAACAAAAGTCCGCTCCAACCACAGTTCTGCTCTAAACATAAATCATCCCGCACGCAGAGAAATGACAACTTTCTACTTCCTAATAAAAGTTGTATGATTACAGTGACAACAGGGTGTGTGGCACAACTGCGACAGGAGGAAAAAAGAAAGTCCACATACTTCGACCTGGTGGATTTCTTCTGAACACAATGTGTGTGAGTCACCAGACAACTTTGCGTTCAATAAATGTCACTGTACAGTGCTATGAGAGATAAGACATGAATCAGTGGGCTCTTAGCAGGGTGTGAACGGAAGAAACAAACTACCTGTTCTTTGACGGAGGCCAGGATGTTGTTGGCTGTGTTGTCAGCCTCCATGTTGCGGCCAGTTGAACTGTTGCAGATGGTCAGCAGAAGCCCCTCCTCCGTCACTGGGCTCTGCTCAGGAGCTGGCATTCCTCCTGTGAGGACAAACACACACACATACACACACACACAACATGATCTGGTCTGAAAAAAAAAAAAACAGCACAATCTTGTACACACATACCAAACTGTGTGCATGTGTGTGCAAACACGCTCCACTCACAAATACACACTTGAGCCAACCACTCCTCCATACACAGAGGCGAGTAATGCTGACAAGTGACAATCAATGGTCACACACCACGACCAGCAATACACAAACACACACCCACACACGCCATATGGACCAAAGACAAAAAGGGCTGTCCGTGTTTCACGTCTGTGACAGTGCAAATCAATGCCACATGGACTAAGACTACACACAACTTTAAATGATGACCAGTGTGTATGTAACACACTCTCACGTTAAGAATACAACAGAAATGTATATCTTAGCAATGCAAAAGCTGCCCTGAAATACCAAGCGAGTGTGCACAGAGGTGAATACAATATATGTTTGCGTATATAAGATGCAGTGGAGAGGTAGAAGAAGATGAGCGAGGGCTGGCTTTTGAAAAACAGAATAAAAAAAAGCCAGCAGCCCCGACGGAAGAGATAAGGTGTTCCCTGTCTCCTTTGCTCTCTCTGGCCTCTTGTCCGAGATTGAAATAAGAAAGCAGAGCGAATAGTTATGGTCTCATTATATCTGTTGACAGAGAGAGTGTCAAGGGAACGCTGCTCAAGGTGGATGCATACTAGAAGGAGCCTGTTGAGCCAGACAGGGCTGCGGCAGCAGACACAAGCAAGGAGTCTAATAACACAGGAGGTATGTGACTTTAGGGAAACAGGGATTTTACTATGACTTTTACTGCCGTAGCGATCCACTGCCACTGTCATCTCCAAGATACAAAGATAAAGACAGACTCCACCCCCAGCCCACTCCACGTACATCTTCATCTACATGCTGTACTTCACTAAACCACACAGCATGCAGTCACCGTGATACAGAAACGCCGTCTTCACGTGTGAATATGGAGAGGAAAGAGTAGCTGCGAAAATCTCCATTAAATAACCATATGGTAATTTACTAAAGAGCCATGCCCCGAGCAACTGAACTCTCCCCCCATGAAAGTGTGTATTATAGCACCTCTGGTTCATAATGGGTGCCTCAGGGTGACTGGTAGACTTGTTATACAGTAGCTCTGCTGAATGAGTCAAAGTTGTGCCAACAGACATCCTTTTAAAGGGTTAAAGGGTAATTTGTTGTCATGTAAAAGCCCCCGCCGACTTAAATTTGCATATGTGCACACACACACACACACACACTCACACACGCACACAAGTAAAGAATCATTTAGCTCAGGCTGACAGTCAGTTTGTGTGAGCCGGTTCTGTTGTTTACTTCTAGGGAGTAGAAGAACGTGGGAGGTCCCCCGGACATTTGGGTGAAATGTGACCCTGAGGTATTCTGGGAGTCTGTCACCAAGGCAGCGCGAGCATTTCAAGGTGTTTGAGCTGACCCGGTGTCATGTGCCAGGCACGGTGTTAAATGACAGATAAGGTTGTACTACTCCAAAGTATGTTAGTCCACACAGGATATTCCATGTATTCCCCTGTCAGTCTCTGAAATTCCTTTCCTGCTCATTCATAGTGTTGCAACACACTCCCCCATCCTCCCTCACTTCCATTGCAGCCTTTGAATCAAGGACACGCCGCTGGATTCCCAGAAAACGCAGCGACAGGAAACGGGGAAAAGCTGTTTGAATTTGACAGAGCTCCTCCTCCTTGACTTTTGCACAAACACAAGAGAAACAACACAGACAGGACCGACAGAGCGCACATTTTAAGCTGACAGAAGTTGCCAGCCCGGTCGGGGAGGGCAAAATCCTTTCTTCTTTCTCTCTCGGTATGTTCTCACAGAAGAACAAAAAAAAAGAGGAGCGCAGCTATGGAGCCAGTTATGGTGATTGTCATGTAAATCACCATAGAAGTAGAAAATGGGCCTTATCGAGCTCGGCCTCTCTGTGACCCTTCAATGTCTGATAAAACACGCCCTCCGTCAAAAAACTGACTTACTAGCTTGTCGAAAAAAAAACTGATTTTCATCAAGGCGTCACCAAAATGTGAATATAATCTGTCCAAATGAATATTCTCAGGAGAGTCCACACTAAGCAGACTGTAGGAAATAGAATCAGAAAAAAACAACATACAAAAAAGGAAAAGAAACCCCCTACTGAAGGCAGCATTGGGAAAAGATAAATTTCCTTCATTATGTATCCGAGCCTACCTCTGCAATTCCCCATTGTATCGGGTCCAGAATGATTTCACTCTGCTTAGCTTGGAGTTCTCGGCAGCTGTGAGATGTGAGTGAAGACAACCAAGCTGCTGCCAACCTACCGCAGTCCTATTGGCACACGGCTGACTGGTTCTTCAACATTACTCTTTGTGTTTTGCTCCAAAATGCCTGGGGATGGAAATAATCTCGCTGGACTGCCTTCGCTAAAAATTTGGTTTCTCATGCCCGTAAGCTGCATTCACAACAAATCAGGTACGTGCCGCCGACCGGCGCGGGGTTGTGTGGCAGCGGGAGAATGTCACTCAACAGACACACACACATTCAACCCCCCAAATGTAGCACAACTAGACTTTATGTATCACAATTATTGTTTTCAGTCAGAGTGTTTTTATGATATTGACAGTTACAACCACACTTGAAGGCAGCTTCATTCAATTCACAGCAGCTAGACTGATGAGAAGACTTGGCAGTAAACACTTTGAAGTAAACACTTCCCAGAGAATTGCTCCAACGGGCACCCATGAAGTCAGCTGTTACACAAACACCTGGGCAATTGAGGTAAATGCTCGTGTTTTGTCTTGCACCCTGTTTTTTACTTTCTTAAAGTTTTTTCTTCCCCCTTTCCCAAGGCAGCGAGAGGAAGAGATGTTAACTGTAGGTTACTCTCTCACCGACTCACTGGTTGCGTGATTGGTCACCGCAGCTCCACGCCACGCTGCATTTCTCCAAAACTTGATTCTGTTTCAACTTTTTTTCACCGCAGGCCGATGCGTTGTTGTTTTTTTTCAGGATCCCCAACTGCCGCAGCCCAAACACACACACACTGAGAAGCAGGTGGAAAGCCCAAACTGAGCAGCTTTCAAGGCTATCATTAGGGTAATGCCTGAGGACCGTACTGCGTAGTTCCCACAGAGTAAAGATGACCTCATTCTGGTCTCAACAATGAGGCTAACTAGCGTCTAATTATTAGCCTTATGGTTATTTCCCTTGACTAAGTGGAAAATAAACACTCTGCATACCATCTTTGAGTATAGGTAATGACAAAATAAACCGGATTATTTTAAACAATATCTCTTTCAGTGACAGAGTTGTCCAACTATTCAGCGTGCAATAATAAGCATCTCCTTGACAAGACGCTCTTTCTAGTCAGCTAAATCTCCCCTTTAACGTATCTTAATCTTCAAGTCTCCAAGTCTGCCAAGAAACGTCTTAGCCTGATCCCACCCTGACTCGGACCACGTGATCTGATCTACTGACCTCAGACTCCGGCCACTCCTCGGAGCTTCTTACACAATCCCTGTTTCCGTGACTCTGTCTCGAAGACTAAATCTAGTTTATGGTTCAAGTGAGGAAAGGGAAATGGAAGCTAGAGTGCAACAGAGTGTTTTAAAAACAGCTGTTCTGAAGGGAATGTTGCTTAAAAACAGATCAACTGGCCCAGATTCAAATACTGCCTTCTTGCATCAATTTCATCCGCATCCATGAATTCATCATTTCTCTGATTCCTCTGAAAGCCACCTGTGCCTTGTGTCACCTTCTCCAAGAGCACTGCAGCAGCAAATGTAACATCAGCTGACACACAGGCCACGTTTACATGCACACGGGAAACCAGGTTACTGGGAGAAATCAGGTTAAAGCAGGAAACCAGAGAACAGGTTTACTGGCACTATAGTAATACAATTATTGTAACTGCTGTGTTCACATGCAGCTGGTCAGTAAACACATCTCTCCAAGGGAATACAACTGCATATCCATGTGTATCAGTGATACAGCATTGAAGAATTGTTGTCTTTAATGACTGTGTTCATGTGTCTGCATTTTGAAAATATCCTTCCACTTAAACAATAATAACTAACTTATTCATTTCAGTTTCTGTTTTAGTCTGACTTTCGATTTGATTATTTTGGACTCGAGGATGCACCACCATTAGTAATCTTTCCTTTCATGCTGCTGTCACGTTGATACATGTCTGTAGCGTTTGTCATACGTTATGACGCGTGCTTTTATAAAAACATTGTCGGAAACCTGGTTGAACACTGAGAAATCAGGTTTCTCCAGCAAAACTCTAGCTGTGTTACAAGCTGTTTTCTCTTAATCTCTACATAGCAATCAATCAACCAGGGTACTGCAGAACCCTGACTAGTGACCTAAGTGCATGTTAATGCACCGACTGATGTATTCCTTTATTTTCTTATTTGAACTCTTGGAGAGTTAAACAGCCGTTACTATAACACGTGCCGTGCACATCCACACTACTACGTTTCCCTTTTAAAACGCGTATCTTTTGCTACGTTTCCAGAGGTTTAAAGCACCGAAAACGGATACGTTTAAAAACACTCCCGAGGACGGCTACGTTTGAAAGATCCGGGGCTACCTCCTAGTGTGGACGGCGTAAATGCATACGTTTTGGAAATTAGTCTGTTTGAGTATAGAGAGGAAGATTTTAGAGGTAGAAATTGAAGTATCAAGCACAACCTTTTATTATTAAGGAGTACTATAATACTGCTGTAACTTATCAACCACTCTACTTCCTGTTTAAACCGGCACCTGCATGCCCAGTGTACGTGTACAGTTATGTGATTTTTGTTTTCAGTCGTGCTAGTATGGACAGAAATCATTTCGAAAACGATGCTGAAACGCCCGTGGGGACGTGGATCGTTTTTGTTTTAAAACCCCGGTTTTAAATGGAAACGTATTGGTGTGGATGTAGCCCAAGTCAAAAGCTCTATTGTCTCGTCATTCAGGGGGAGGAACATTTGTCTTCAGGAGGCTGAGTGACACCAGGTCACAGACATTCAACACAGACAAATGGAGATGAGCTAAGAAATAATTATAAATTACCCTAAATTTCAATCGCAGGGAGTCTCGGAGAAGCAGCAGTTCAAACGCTGATTGCTCCGACTTGCTGAGCTAAAAAAGGTCCGGGAAATCGACAGCTCAAACAGAGCTGAGAGCTGCTGGCGGAATATACAGCAGGCTCCATTTCTCATATACTGCAGCTCTTTTTTGGAAACAAAGGGGTGATAACAGTTAATTACCTTCTTCTTTATAACTCGTTTTTATTTCCACATACAGAACCAAACATGGCAATCCATGCAGTGCTGCATTGTGTAGTGAGCCAATACATATTTCGTTGCGTATCAAGCGACCTCTAAGCTGACTTCATCCATACACCAAATTAGATATTCACTGATTAACACAGCAACTTGTGCAGGAGGAGCTGATCAGTGAAATCATCTGGTGGATTTTTTTTTTATGAAAGCCCACATGCTCTCAGGCTCTCAGTGTTGCCCATTGGCACTTAACTAGAGTGACCAAGCAGCATTATGTAGCATGTAAAAGCTTTGTGGGGAGAAATACAGTCCCATTACTAATCTCTCAGCAGCTACAACTACATCCCCAAAGACCCCCCAATGCTTAATTGCTTCTTTCACTGTATTGACTTCCTTGAATAAAACTAACATTTGTGGTCCAATGTAGTTTATCAGAATTAACCAAGATGAACAATAAAAATATATTTCCGCCTCAATAAATCCCCAGAATGAAGACGGAGGTAGAAAAACACTTCATGCATTCGCTCCAAAAGCATTCACGACAGCAGCATTATGTTTTTACAGCAAGTCAATGAATTCTGAAACAATTTCTGAAATCCCCTAAACTGCACACACTACTATAAGGCGAGACACGTTGTTAGGAAGTGCTGACCGAAGCCCTGACAAAGTAATTGCTCTGAGCTGATTTGAGAATGTGGGTAACACAAATATACCAATGGTCCTGCACACACTGCATGTCACTGATTAACCTTAACCTCAGACAGTACACTACTAAGTATCCGCATACTGTGACTTCTTAGTAGGTGCCACATGTGGACAATTCTTTTGAGGAGGATGACACATTTTCTGGAAGCACATGATGGACTAGCCAGCAGTAATACACAAAAAAAAGGTTATTATTAGATCCCTAGATGTTTCACTTTCTGCTGCTCTCAACAGCTGAAGATGCTTTGCTCATATTGACACACCCAGCAGCAAAAGGAATGTCTCCTTTCCAGAGCAGAAACAGTCTTATATGTACATACAATCACCCTATCAATCATTACGCTGAATAGGCTAAAGAGAATGATGCAGCCACAAATAGACACATACCTGTTGTTCCGTTGACCGAGGATTAAACGTGGTGACAAGTATGAGGCTATATGGAGAGGAGACAATAGTCCGACCACATCTCCTCAAACCTGCTACAAAGCGGACATGCAAAATAAATCATTCACAAGCTGCACCCATGCCTACCTCACACCTTGTACTGCACCCCGACAAATGTTGCAATAACTGGAGGCCTATCTGAACATGTGTATCCACAGGGCAGGACTTTCCTCTGAGTAACAGCAGGAAACACAGTCATCATACAATCTATTCAACACACAAACTGTCTAATACTACATGCCCAGATGCCCTACGCACACTCCTTTATCTTGCAATATACGAGGACATGAGAAAGATGGCTGCAAATAATCCATGTTTGCACTATGCAGCAGTAAAAACACAAGACTAACTTTCCGCGACCAACTTCCTACAGTGATCATCCACCCTCTAAATCATTTCCTCATGACAATACCTCAACTAATGGGGAGCAGAGAGGCTCAACTGTCCCATCAGCTGTTTCCAACATGTCACCGCCAGTAATACGTGCCAGAAGAGGACATAAATTATTCTGATTGCATGCAAATCCCCTAAATAGAATCAGTTTCTGCTAGATAGACGTGCTTCATCCTGTCACACATTGTTAGACAAATACATTCAACACCCCAATGCCTCTGAAGAAGGAATTACAGCACAGTGCTCTGTGCATCTCTAGAGAAGTCAATGCAATAAACTCATTTCTTGTGTGGCGGATGTACCACAAAACAAATGTAAACAGAAGGTTTCATGCACTAAGATAACTGACAAAGTTGAGTTAGAGAATTTGGTCATGGATTGGGACGTTTATTAGTTAACCTCATTTAACAGCTCAATAAAAAAAAAAATGTGTTTAATCAATGCTACAGTTTAATCAACCCTACAGTCATCAAATGATTGTGCTCAGACTTCATATATGACTGAAATACACTGACTATTTGAACGTGAGAAATTGAGAATTAGCATAACAAATGTCCTGCTATTGGCAGTGTCCTGGCTCCAACTATATAAGGTGTCTCTCAGGTGAACAACGGATCTCGCTCAGCACCTTCTATTAAGACTGATTACAGCAAGAGATGATCAGTAACAACGCTATGAATTGTATAAATTTAGCTTCGCTGACTGCTTCTTGATAAAAAGGGCAATTCTGTGGGTGTGTTGTGATCAATTATGAGATTGAAGAACGATGGCTTTTACATAAACTGTCATACATACACCTCGCTCTGTCTGACGACTCATTAATGAACACTAAGTATTAATACGACCAAGTATCCATTTCAGTTTTGTTCATGGCTCTCATATTGGCAGGATCCTCAACTATATATTTTCACCCCCACAAAACGTGATCCTGTTGCAAACAGCAGGCTCTTATTAGATCATTAATTATACGGCTATGACTCCAATGGTTGCTGGACATATTTCAGTGTTAAAAGCGTGGTAAAATACAGCCACATAGCTGAAACTTGAGGATCCCTTAGCGACAGAGTATGCAAATGTTAGCGATGCTGGCAAGGCCTGTCCAATTTAAATTGCTTTAAGATACAAACCTCAGAAGCTCTCCAACATCACCGTCAGTATGCTGCCTGTCATTTAAAACAAAAAACATCTGCAGTAGAAGTAAAAAGCCAATGCAGCAATTACTACAGCAGTTCTACTCGCACAACAACTATGTATAAAAAGTGCCGACAGATTGACAATCTGAGATGAATTTTAGGAACCAAACATGATAATCTAGGTCATTTTATCTCAGAATATTCTGATGTTCAGTGGAAATCATGATAGTATTTCCGCTTTAGGATGTAAAGATCATTATTTCATGTTGACACAAATCTGCCACTCTTTCGATTCTAACTGACAAGCTTCAGGCTCTACATCTGTACATCTGGTCTTCTGGCTTAAAGCTTTGCTAAAAATGTATTTTCAATGCACTGCACAGGTTCTACTGAAAGACTAAATTCTGCTTCGAAGTGACTTATGAAGTTTGTTTAAATTGGAAAAACAAAACCCCTGTTCTTGTGAAGTATTTTGAAACCAACTTCATGACGAAGATGGATAAGCAGAGGCCCGATCATGTACTTCCTGACAGCTGATCTACATTAGCACTGCCTGCTCAATGCTCTGTGCTTCTGGGTGGACAGGCGGGGGTCATGAATGTCGTGCTGCTGCCCATTCAAATGTAAGAGCTGAACAAACATGAATATATTGATCAATATGAAGCAAAGTCCTCCGGAATGAAACAAGCCGGTTATCCAATAAGTCATGGAGTTAATATGCACAGTTTCAAGGCCTTGTTGGCCCTTTAAAGTCCCACGACTGGCTGATAAATATATTTTCCTTTCACTGGAATATCATGCCGTTTCCATCAGCACTGTGTACTGTAAATGTGGTGCTTGGTAACAGATGGAGTTACATTTATTGGTAAACACTACTGGTAAAGGTGTCTGCAATCAATCAATTACTTCATCTCAAAAGTAGAAAACATGTCACATTTGTTTTTTGCTGTTCTTTTGCAAACATTCTTGCCTGTCATCTACAATTTTTTTCGAAAGCAGGCGAATCTTGAAAGTATATCTGAGGATATCTCACGTTTCGTCTTGATTTTGGCAAGAGTTTAACAATTTCGCTCATTTGACCGCTCAAATGAGAAATGCCCCGAAGCTAACAACATTAATTGAAATAACCAGCACTCCAACTTGTTATTTACAACTTCTTTTAGCCTCCATTAGTTCTGGCCTGCAGGTTGGAAAGTGATGTCTAAGAGTCCCGAGGAAGAAAAACCTCATCTATAATTCTGTACACCTCAGACTGAATGAACTGAACCCTGCACCTGCTTTCCTTTAGTCAATGCCAACTATAACTGATGACAGAATTAGCATACACACAAAGACTTGAATATTTCAGTGACTATTGTCAGTTCCATTTAACTGAGATTGCTTGAGTTGCGGTTTTTTGTTTTGTTGCAAAAGGACTGTTAATTACTGTATTAAAGAAGAAGGTAATCCAGACTTACTGCTGGATGTCGAACAATAAATCCATCTGCATTCAAATTTGAATTGAAAAGAACTTAACACAACTGAGAATGAACCTTGAGGAACCAAAGTAACAACTGGAATAATTAAAAGGTGCAAAAATCTATTTCCTGTAACCATCAGGACACCGACATGCATTGAACCATGATTCAGGAAGACAGAAGGAATGCTGTTATTGCTGTTATTTAAGTAAATGTCAGGTCAGCCGACCAGCACCAGCTGGCCTTTTAAAACAGTGACTTAGTTCAGGTGAGTTTAACTAACAAATGCTGGGAATATAGACTGAATAACTGCAAAGTCACAGCGTACTGAAGGGAAGGCGGGGTGTCCTGTTAGATGGCACCATATGGATGCTCTATCAAAGGGGATTTAATTGAAAAAATAAATCACACCCCTCATGTTGGTAAAATAAAATCCCCTTTAGCTGTAATGATTCATAGAGGACAGGATTTTGCAGCTGTGCAGAGTTACGTTTTTTTTTTTTGGTCTAGTGTGGATGCGGTCACATTCATCATATGCCACAGATATACTTCTGCAAATCTGTTCTTGTATCCAACGTAGGACATAACAATATGCTGTTTCTTATCCCGGTAGCCACAAAACATGTGCACCTCTTCTACGACGTGTGGGTAATGGGGTTTTTTCTGTTTAAATTGGCTGCAGCAGGAAAATGTATATGATGTGGGAGTGAATGTCCATCCCAAAATAAGTGGGCTTTGGCATTGATCGGGGGTTTACTGGTGCATGCAGAGGAGAGTGCATTTTGGGTGCCACAAAAACACATTATCCTGAGACAAGAATGAGCCCTTTAACAGGTTAAATGGGTTTGTAAGCCGGTAGCATTGAAGTCACAGTTTCTCTAGTGAAACATTATTCTGGGATTTCTTTCTGGGTAGATCTGCTAACTAAGCTTTGTTCTAGAGAGTGAAGGAAACTTAAAGAGTTGCCTTAAGGCTACAGGTTTTGTCAGCTTTGATGCTGTCCCTTTATCGTTACTCCGATAGAGAAAGAAAAGATGGAGTATATCTGTGATATCACACAGCCCACACCTGCCTCACCACTCCATAACTAAATGCAAATCTTAGGATCTATAAAATGCCATTTTAAATGTCATGTGCTTGAACTGTATTTGTTCATTAACTCCTGAGTTGGGAAAATTGGTTCAACAGGAGTTAATTTGACTTTGTTGCAGACTTTTAAATGCCTTGACATTTATATGAACACTACACCCGCAAAATGATGATTTGTATATCAATTCCTCCCCCCGTGTTACCTTGAATTCTTGAAACTTTATCTTCCAGGCCTCCATGGTGAACGAAGAATCAAAAAGTGGAGAAACGCCTGGCTGAATTGGAGTAAATGGGGACCGCGTTTAATACAGCAAAACTGTATTTACACATCAATTTAGGAACTGTTGCAGAACTGGTGCAGTGCAATCCAAAGTCTCATGTCTCCAATCTCATGATACTTCCCAAACACAAGCATCTTCACTTAAACCGTACTATTTAAAAACACTCCTCCGGACTCACACGGACAAGTAGCCCGCCTGCGCAAATATGAGTTTATGCAGAAGTCTTTTGAATGCTACGGTTTTAGTGAAGATGCATGTTTTTCAGCAAACAACTGGATGAATGAGTCTGGGTTCTACTGCACATGTGTGAAAGTTCAGAATTGGATGTTTTGATGAAGCTTTCTTGTTGTTAAACGCGGCCCCGTTTTACATCAATTCATTCAGACTTTTCTGTTTTTTGATTCTTAGTTTACAGAGGAGGCCAAAAAAACAAACATTTTCTTCACAAATTCAAGGTTACCCGGGGTGAGTAACTGAACAGATGGTCATTTTGTGGGTGAAGTATTCCTTTAAGAAGTGGATCTTCTGCTTCTCGGGAAGGTTTTACGGAAGCAGGTGAGGCAGACAAGTCCTGTAGATTGTCCCAGTTTTCAGTTGTAAACCTCGTGGTCAGAATGTCACCTGACATTGCTGGAGATGCCTTCAACTTCTGACTAAATCCAGCCACTGAGCGCACTTACATACCACTCTGGAAGGACACCTGACCCCACAGATTTTAAAAGTCTAAAACAAGAAGCACACAGCCTAAGTTTATGTTTGTATCTTATGTGCTGAAACAGAACAATTAAGCGATAGCTCTAATTGTTTGACTCGTTTGCCTGACATTTCAAAGCCTTAACAATCAATGAAACTAAGAATAATCAATAATCGCTAGTTGCTGCCATCGAAACATCTAGAAGTGCTCTAGTTTTAAACAGCTCAGTCTGTAAGACTGTTGAGATATTTACAACAGTATGGCATTCGTATCAAAGATTCACCGTTCAGCATTAAATGTCACCCTATAGGTTCTGAGATGTTTTTATGACTGTAGAGGTTACGGCTGTGTTTTCAGGGTCTCTGTATATGAACTCATGCGCTCCACTGGGATGGACTCTACTCGTCCTTCTACCATCAGCAAAGAGAGAGCTTTCGCCTGGGGGCGATAATGTGAGTAGCACTTTGAAATATTCAACAAGGTATCATGTGCCTTGCTGAGCTCATTCTGCAGCCACGTAGCCTTTAGATAGAGGGGATTGTTGGAGCAATGAGCTCGCAGGAAGACTTTAGTATATAGTAGGGCCGCATGTGGCGCTAACAACAGTGGGAAAGCTCTGTGCCTTCGCTGCTGCTGTCCACATAGCAGACACCGACGAGGGGCAGTCTTTCAGACTCAGCATGGCGGGCCTATGGAGGGCTATTTTACCGTACCAAAAAAAATCTATTGTGCTCCTAATCTCTGAAAGTGCTGACATGCTTTGTGTTCTGTATTATCTTTAGCTGTCCGGGATCCAACCACAGCATTAAAGGGCTCTTTCAGGAATCTGTGTACATATCTAGTTAGATCAACAATCAGCCCACATGTCAAGGCGTATCCACACAAGCCTTTGCAAGCTGAATATGTGAAGTGTGCTTCTTTAATTTGTTCGATTTCTTTTACATATGATAGGTAATGATAAGTAATATGTGCCGTGCTACTAATTCATAATTAACAATTAAGCTTGCGTATTATGTTGAATCGTCACAATATACTTCAGATATTGAAATACTATTTTAGAATAATAACAGATCTGCTCGCTGGTTTAAGTCTCCACATTGACAAAACAAAGAGATTTTACAGGGTTCACAATGGAAATTCCCTACTCTGCTACATCGTGTGGTTGTTCTCAAGGGAGGCAGGAGAGAAACTCTCTTTAGACTACACCATGCAAATGTGGGAAGGGAAGAAGCTGCAGTATGTGGGGTGGGATTTGTGCTTCCAGTAAATATTATTATTGTCCCACACTGGAGCCACACCTCAGTAGCTGAGAGTCCTTCACATAAAAAACAACTAATAAATCACAAATGTGTTGTATATCTCTCTCGCAGTTTTGTATACAGTAAACTATTTTAGTGCGACATAAACACGAACGTTCAATCATAGCAGTCTGAGCATTGCATCAGTATCTGTAAGGCTATAAATTCTGCATCCGTGTTATGAATACACCGATGTAATAAAAATATTAAATTGTTTATTTAATGGTTGGTAGCGGAGTAAAGAAAAGGCTGACTGCCGCCGTGAGAGCTCTACTTTTAAGAGCACAAGGGAGGCTGACATTCTCTTTGACTTGCAGAGAGAAGAGATTGATACTTCAGCACTTTACTTTAAATACAGCCATGCAAAGACACAACACAAATAACCATTTTGTTTCCAGGCAAACAGGCTGTGAGGCGCAGACTGGAAATTCTTTCTCTCCCCCCTGTAGAGGGGTGGGGGGATACAGAAAAAAAGCAAATCTGAAATGTAAAATAAGGGTGAGGACTTAAGCCTCGATTTCAAGCCAGAATTAGGGGGTGAAAAAAGTACAAGGAGGAGAGGCCCGCCAAAGGGCGTAAACTATTCAACTGTTGTCAGTTCACATTAAAAAGAACTCACCCTGAAGCCTGGGCCAAATAATCACACCAACACACAAAAGCCCATTTGCAACTTGTTTGTGTCTACCGGAGTAGACGGTCGCTCTTCATGCAACTTTTTCTTACATCTATAAGTAGCCTACCCGCGTAATTAATACAGAAAGTTTCACAGACACGGATCACCATCTTTGTACAGCAAGAATGATAAAGAACGTGGAGCGTGACAAATGAAACGGACAGTGGGTTGGTTGAATGCCCGACTCGCTTAAAACCTCTCTCCTTGAGCCAAACTGCAAAAAAAAAAAGAAAGAGAAGTAAAAACAGCCTGACTCTTCGAACCAACGCCCCGCTGCTCTTTCAATTCCACAGTAACCCACTCCCAATGGCTGTCAGCTGTGCGGCAGTGTGTGTCTTTTACGGTAATGTGAATCACGAGGGGAGCAAACTAGCGATTCCTTATTGGTGTGTGTGTGTGTGTGTGAGAGAGAGAGAGTTCACATATGATCTCATTTACCTTATGCACTTCCACTGTTGGCTGAAATAAAACTTGCACTGTGGCAACATCGGTGATGCAGGCTGATAACCTTTCAACACCTCGCATGGCAACAGAGGAGGCTTGAAGCACTGCTCCCAGCATCTTTTTACGTGGCGAGAGGGGAATGGGACTTGACCTTTGGTGAATAGCCATCATAACACAGTTAATAACTGCTCCTTGAGTCTTGTGTCTTCTTCTGTTTTAGCCAGACTTTTAAACAGAATGATTCAAATTAAATGGCAAATTTGCTATTCCCCCTGAAATAACATGTCTCAAACTCAGATTGCAGTGACATTGTAAGTACTGGGTTATTAGAAGATATACGTTGAAGAAAGAGGAAAGGGCTTGAGGTTGCATGTGAGAGAGGTATAATGATGTGCATTTCAAACAAAACCTACTTTTTACACCAAAGTGGGACAAGGCAATAAACATGTGTAAAACATGAGTGAGTTAGAATATCTACCTAATTAACCATGCTAAAACAATGCTGCATTTAAGTAAGGTAATGTGACTTTGTATATTATTATTAGCTTCCGGGGCAATAAAGGTGAGTCCATCGTGTCCTAAGAGGTAGGTTATTCTTTCACACTGCTAAGCAATGGCACCGCAGTCACGGTACACGTTAGCAGAAACGCCCCTGCTTAAAATGCAGATTAGGGTCATTAAATATGGCGTAGTTTGAATTGTGGCGAGTGAGCGCGGAGGGGTAAAGGTAAGCTTATCCTGCGGGAGCACAGAGTCGGGATCTCCGCCCCTTTTCGCCGACCTCGCATTCCACAGATTCCCACACTCCAAGCTCACCTGCACGCTTTCAAGGGCAACAAATCAGAGGGAAAAGTGAGGCTTCACGGTGCCGGGGAGAAAACTAACACCGAAACTGTTCCTGCACGCAAGCCGGCCAAGTTTTCATCCCGACGGGATTGGGCATCGAGGGCAGCGCATGAGGATCCCTAGAGAAGGTGCGCGTTGTAGGCGATGACTCGGTCACAAGATCAAGATTAGCATAGTATTAGATTATCTCCCGCCGTGAAGAAGCCGAAATAAGTTTTGCCTTCTGCCACACACAGACGCAACACAAAGGCTTAACACGTTCTTTGCGCAGTACTTTCTGAGTGCAAGTATGTAACGTTAGTCCATACCCTCGTTCGCCTTACGCACGGATGCTTTTATTTTTTCCCCTACGTTTTCCCCCAATTGTTCTGCAGTTAGTGAAGGAGCGGGCGACATAAAACGCAATTAATTACCTTAGGAGGACTGTTGTTCCGATCGGCGGAGCTGCGGCTCGGATCTACATTGGAAGGTGTAACTTCATCGGTAAAGTCCCCTCGTTTAGTCCCATGCATGTGGAGGAGTGAATCGCGCCTCCATACTCGTGGAGAAGAAGACAACCCCTTTTCCTCTGTCCCTCTGCTTCCACCACTGGTCCCAGTGCAATGCGAGCGTGCATGACGTCAGTGGGAATGTGGGGGAAAGCCATGCGCACTCCTGATTGGTTCCGATAGCAGCAAGGGGGCGTTCCCATATGGTGTTTGCATTGCCGGTTTACCCAATGACGGAAGAGCTGATAGTTTCCTTGGTTACAAATTTTTGTCAACTGTACAGAGAGCAGGAGCGCGAGGTAAGCTCGGGTTCAGTGGGTTAAATGTTCATTTCACGTACACAGCAAAGACGTCATACTACTCGTGCGGGTGTTTGTGTTCATTTATATTACGAGGCTCTGATAAACTTACCAGTGTTTCTGTTCACAATATTCGTCATATTTCGACTCTCTCCAGCTCACCTGCCTTTTTGTATTTGTGTGCATAAGTTTGTGTGCTGCAGTATTACTGTTGAACTATAACAATGCTGCAGCTATCTGCTATTGTCATGATTATTATGGATTTTTTTCTTCTTAGTTGAGTAAAATTTCTGTTGTTTTAAAGGGACTTGCTCAATTTGTCCAAACAACAGTGAGATATTCAAAGGTAGGGCTTTCACTTTGCTATCATAGAGGACCAGCTAATATATTGTAATATAATATATTCACATTTCAAAAGCTGTTTTGGGTATTTACATGTCCCTCTCAGGTATGGACAATCATCCTGAAGTAAGCTAAAGCAAAAGCAAATGTAAGGCTGCTTTTATATTCTGAATCCTTACATAGCTTGTAATTTTGTGTTAATATCTACAAAATAATAATATAGGTCTTCATTTAAGAAACGAGGCCTTTATGTCTGCTACTGACATGAACAAGAAATAGCAATTGTCATCAATTGATCCAGAACTCAGTTTTCGTTTTAGTCGTGGATTAAATCCTGGCCTGCATAATTCTCACTAACCCTTAGTGTTGCAGAAGAATATCTGATCACACCAGGTTCACCACCCCCCCCCCCAAACACTGAAACTTGTCCACTGATTATGTCATGCAACCTCAGTATTTTTGTCTTTTATTTTGCAGGCACTAATGCATCCAAATAGGGCTCTACAGTGATGAGTGGAAGGGATCTGCGTACGTTCGTTACAAACTACAGAGCAGAAGACGTGGGTAAGTCAGCAGCAACTAGGTCTGAAACATTACTGACTCGTGATACGGTTGCCCATTGATCTGTTGAACAGATTTGACCTTTAGTCCCCAAGTTGAATTGGTGTCAAGCCTTTGATGCTTTTGTTAGAGGCAGCCTTGCCTGTGTTTATTCACCTCCCTCGTTGAGTCACAGCTGAACTACTCAAAAAAACACTGTCTTTACTTCTATTCCTTTCTTTGCTGAAGTCAGCATAAATACTTTACTTCAGACGTTGAGAGTGACGGGGTTTTCGACGATTCAAATGATCCTAATACAGCCGTATCATTTGCTTCCATCCATGCAGAGCAACTGACACTGCGGATGAAATATGGTCTTGGCAGCTCAAAGTACAAACCGGCTGAATACAAAAGACTTCAAGCCATTGTTGATGCCAAACGCCTGGAGTCTGATCTAATTGGAATAAAGGTACATTTGAGTTGTTATCAATATTGTGCCTGTGCCTAAAACAGCAACGTTATTATAAAATCCATTCTTATTACATTTGATAACAAGGTGATTCAACAGCAAATGAAGAAGAACGACACAGGGATAGAAAATGTGTTTTTTTTTTCAGAGAGCAAACAGTCCTCATTATCCACCACAGGAAGAGCTTGAACTGACAAAAACCTGATTTTAATGTGAGGTGATAAAACAGCATGTCTTCAATAGTGGTAAACAGTGCAATTTGCTTCTGTTTGTCTACCTTTCTTTCCTCTCTTTTACACACCACATACTGTAAAGGGATTTCATTCCATATGAAAACAGGCATTGCATGAGCTTTGGAGTTTGTCTAACAACATGAAACAGAGCAACAATATCACTGCCATACGCAATAGCATTGCCAGATTCATGAATATTCATTTGGTTGCACGGGGTTTCTATAAACTTGTTTGAAGTTCATCGTCGTCTCACTCTGAGAAGAGCAAGAAGTTAATGCTAGGGGCGATGGAGATAAGGCTGTGAGACCTGCGGTGCTTTAATTGGTAAACTGTGGCAGAAGTCTTTCAGTATCATTATGGTTGCCGGTGGCTCCTTCCAACCCAGCGCTCTGCATAAGCTAGATAAGACCTGCTATGTTCACGTTGGGTTGCCCTGCTGAAAGGCTTTCTGAGCACCTCCCATTGGTGAATAAATGACCAGGAGTCACCTCAAGCAGGATCGTTTTTTGTTCAGGAAGGGACCGGCAACATTACTAAAAACCTTAAAAAGTTTGCCTATCGACAAGATTGTTTTTTCTGTGTCCATGACAGGTGCACTACTTTCTGCGACAATCCCACAATGCAATGTGCCGATTTCTGATAAGAGATATCTGAAAGGCACCATCATCTGACCTTAAATCTGCAAGATTACATTAAAAAAAAGAGGTGTAAAATGGTGTTGTGTGCATTACACTGTGGATTGGGGGTTTTATACAAATAAAAAGTAATGCCCATTAAAAGGGTGGACGTGTGGTTTAATAGTCAATATAAAATAGTTAAGGTTGGATGTTAATAGATTAGTTTTATTTGACTAAGTAAGACTAGAAATCCGCTGATGTAAGTTTAGCTTCAGGCACAGTTTTTGTTCTCCAGCTGAGCTTATTAGACAGCCAATGCAAATTAACATCATCTACAATACATGGGGAGGCATGGGATGACCTCAATTTGGCCTTTTTCTTTCAGAGCAGCACTAGTTTCAGACCGTAGATTCCCTTCACTGTAAAATGGACATCTCCCCGAGGGTAAACGCAACAAAAGCAGTAGCAACTGTAAATGCAGATAGACAGCCTGCAACACAAATCAACACCCTTACTCCTTTAGATTTCCTATTAATATGAAATTGATTGTACCCACAAATTAGTTAGTTGAAGTATTCTTTTGTACAATTTTCTGAGCCAGTGGACTGTGTATTAAAACACTGATGGAGGACAATAATTCGCTTCATGGAGACATTTCTGAAGGAGGGCCTTGTTCTTTCACGGTGAAAAAGGAAAACAAATGAGAGTAGATTAAGACCTCTGCCTCCCCCTCGTCTCCTAACGACATGCATGTCACGCATCTTTCTACTTGATTATTTTAATTTGCCGCTGTTTACTTTGCTTTCATGCTTTAACAGTGATACTGTTTCGGTTGAATTACCTACATTTATGAGGCTCTCAAAGACACAAAATGCTAACAAAGGCTGAGGCAAAATATCCCTTATGGGCAGAGAGGAAGGGAATTTATCCTTCACTATAGGATACAAAAATCACCTTTTCTATGTTTTACCGTCCTTGCAACATCATAATTAATTCCATTTATAGTTCTTACGCTTTTCCTGTGTTATAAACTGCTCCAGATAATTGATGCATTAAAGTACTCCAGACTCAGGTCTGTCCAGATGAAGTCAATTATTTGTAGGAGGAAATAAATGTCATGGCTAAAGTGCATTTAAAAGCAACACTCCGGCAATTTATTATTTTTTCACTCAGTGCTCATTCCAGGGTTTATTCCTGCTGTGCATTAAACCTTGTCCTATAGGTTCAGAAGACTCGTTGTGCAGCCAAGGCAACCAAGGAGAGCTCCATATTACGGCAGCACAGACAGGTGTGGAGCAGAGAGTGCCCCAGGCAGCAAAAGGCTGAGTAAGAGCCCCCTATTACTCCCTGTCATTATATGCTGCAGTTTTCTGGATCTGCTATTACACCATGCAGCCATTCCACTTAAGCTCCATTGAGCCCAGACAGGACTCTGCATGAAAAAAAATAGGGTGTAAAGAGGGGGGGGGGGGTTATAAAAGTAAGACCAAAGAGAAAAATGTATCAGTGAGAAAACAAGAAGAGGAACATTTAAGCTGATTTTCTTGCAGTGATGCCATTGAATTAAAGGGTGAGAAACAGAGAGAAGTGGATGGTTTGAGCTACTGTATGTGTGGGCAGCGGAGTGTACCGAATGGAAGGAAAACTCTCCCTCTGCGTGCTGAGGCAGAAGTGTGGGGCTGGGGCCCCAGCGGTGTCATGCCTTGTGAAGTGAGAAGGGCAGCGCTAGCTCTGGGGTGCAGCTTGTTTGGCTGCGTAATGACTGTGTCTGAGCCACCCAAGGTTAATGATGTACACAAGCGTGAGCCCCAGTAATGAGCCCAATCATAAAGATGTGTCACAGCTTGCAACTCTCAACATATCCAGTAAGAATATCATGGGATTCAAAAGCCACCTTGTCAAATGGTAAAACAGGCAGGTATATCTATATGGTTATACTCCCTTTATTCACAATCAACCCCATGACCAGTAAGGAAAGGGTAAACCGTCACTGTAGCATCCTCCGTCGGCTTGTTAGTGTGATGCTGCCCACATCATAATCACATTTTTGGAGAGATTCTTGTGTGTGATAGTCAGGATGAAAGATAGATCTGGTCCCCATGCCACCCCTATATCTCCAAAAACTAATCATAGCAGCAGTGGTGGAAAATAACAAAATAATGTATTTCAATGCTGAACTTAAGAACAATTTTGAGGGACACATACTTTATTTTATCTATTCAATTTAATGCTACTTCATACTTTTACTTCACTACATTTATTTCACAGTTTTAGTCAGGATGGATAATTGTGGATTTAGCTTCGTAGCAGTATTTCAAATTATCTCCACCTTTACCAGTGTACATGTCAATAATTAATTTAGCTATATATGTGCCCAGAATTATGAGGTTTTTTTTGTCTTTTCTCCCCAGCAAACATTTGAAACAAGTGACATTATCTTGCTGTCTTTGCAGGTTATATGTTGTATTATGTAAACTGTTGGCTAAATTAACTAATGCGGTTGTATTTAACACCGCTTTCTCTTTCTCTCATGGAACAGGGAGAAGGCTGAGAATGACATCCAGGATTTTCTAGAACAGATCCGGCCAAATGGTAGAACAGATACTGCCATCTTCTCTCTTCAAGATTATGGTAAACAACACTAATTTAGTTGATTGTATTAGCAGCTGTATCTTCATCAGTCTCTTTTGTTTACAAGTACTGTACTAATACGTGTCCTTGCATGTCTGTGTTCGGGTTCAGGGCAGCTTCTAGAGAGAGAGCAGGAGGCATTCAGGATAGCCACGGTGGAGCCTGTTCATCAGCTCAAGGATGACCTGCGCTTCAGACTGAGTGAACTTCAACATCAGCAGCTCACTGCCCATCGATCAAACTGGGAACAAGTAATACAACAGGTATCTGTGTTATATATGAAATAAAGACGTGTCTGGATGTCCACAGTGATTTTCACAAAAGAGCTTTAGTGTAAAAAAAAAAAACTAGCAGAAATGCAAGATTTCTAAATCTATCTCAGAAAAATAGAGTATTTTGCTGCACCTGGTTTGAAAAAATGCAGTGGTCCAGCCTTTGAGAGTACTTTGTCCGTGGCTGGTAGCGAACCATTTGGGAGCATTCTATCCCGTCAGTATACTCATAGCGATCAACGATGGATCTTAGCTGTGCTCACTCTCTGCAGGTACCGAACCACACAGTCGGTCTGGTACATCTAACAGAAATGTAAGCTGTCCTGCGTGTCCACACAATGATCTCAGTTTGCACACAGAGACGTGTTCATTGTCCACGAATCTCTTGTTTGTTAGTTATCCACAGTCCCTATAAGTCACCCAGGCTGCCTTTGACTCTCAGAAGCTTTTTGCAAGCTCTAGATATGAATGGTGAGAATAAGGAGTAAGCAGGGGTCTTTAAAGACAGACCAAACTTGGAATGAACCGTCTGCCAGACGTTTTGTCGCCTCTGTGCGGCTCACTCCTGCTTGTTTCTTTCCCATGACCCCCCTCTACTCTTGCTGGCCCAAAACCCCTAGCCAACTGATTGCATGGCCACAATAGGACAACCAACCCATCCACACACACACACACACAGCCACGGTGCCTCTGTCTTTTTTTTCCATGTCAATTTTTTCTATTTCTTATTTCACCAGGTTACTCAACTGTCTGACTCACAACAAATCAAAGAGAGATCCTTTTCAGGTGCAATATAATTACACTCCCATCCCCGAGTGTTAAATGAAAACCAGAGTCTGAAGAAAATGGGCACTATGTTAAGCGCTACTTTATGAAAGGGAATTCAAAAGGTACCATGAGAGTGAAATTTACCCCATGCCATTGGACTAAAGACTAAAGATTTTGAATTATTTTGACACCATACATTATAATGTTTTTTCACTTGTCCGTCCAGCCATCCACATCAGTTGTTGTGGAATTCTGAAATCAATTGCTATCTTTTTGCCATATTTAGTAATCAATTACGTTTACCTTTTATATTACTGATAAAATTGATATTCTTGTAATCAACAGAAGGGGTCCCCATCTTTATCATGCATGAATCCCATCCAGGCTCATAGCACCTGCGTGCATATTAAGTTCATGGCTCACTCCCCTCATTGTACAACAGAATGGTAGAGCTGGGCAAAGTGGTTGGAAAAAATAACATCTCAATATCTTTAAGCTTTGCACTGCACTATACTGCAAAGTGGTCCGGAACATGGAGCATATCTATGAATTCGATTTTTTTGTTTTTCCGGCTTCCTTTCACATCGGCAAGTTGTTATTATACTTGAATAAACAGAAATAGCTACTTCCATTATAATTGTAATGTCTATGTTCCCTTTATATAACGGAGAAACAGCCCTAATCATTTGATAAGCATCCTCTCAATTTCTAGCTGTTTTCCTCCTTGTGATATCTAGCATCTTGCAAAATAAGCAGTTACTGATAACTTGCTATTACTATATCATTCTCATGATAAACGTTTCTGTATCTAGACATCTGCCAGACCAGGCTGGACCTCAGTTCAATCAGTCCTGTTGATTTGAGCAGGCATGGCATAAGAGGGAAAGAGTGCTACAGTTGATAGCTGTGATCTCTTGAGTCCCAGTCTGCAGAAGGAGAGTTTTCTCGAAGCATTATTGATATAAAAGGATTTCCTGGTCAGGGCAAGAGGTGGAACAATTTAGACCATGTGACACTAAAGTGACAGTTCATACTTGCCAGTTTTATTCCCCTTCAAACTGTGCCACAGCCATGTTTGTTTGTTTCTAAGCTTGTATTTAGGGTACATTTTTTTAATGGTTTTTTTTATCCTTTGATCACCAGATACACTTTGTGAAGGACCAGCAAGATGACATAACTGCAAAACTTCAAGCAGAGTACCTGGCCCTGGAGGGGGAGATCATTGGCCTTGGTTTAGAAGTAAGTTTTTTTTCACTGCTGTTATCCTCCTTCTGACCAATTCCCATTCTGTATCATAGCTCACACTTGAGCTTAAGAAGAACTTGCTACTGTGTGTCACAAAAGCAAAAGTCTAAACATTTCATTATTATATCTCAAAGTTGGTCATATTGTCCTCCGCAGAAATATCTTACGAGTACTTCAGATGATCTGGTGAACATAGAAAACATTCCAGAGGAGGTTTTGAATTCAGACTGCCCTTACCCAGAGCTGAAGGACTCCCTGATCCAGGCCTTCCACTCCCTGTCAGAAAGGTACCAGAGCAGGCTGCACAATCTCCAAGATCAACTGCAAACAACTGACAGGTATAACTGAAGTTCAGCTTTGCTTATTTTAATAATTCTAAGTGCGTGCATATTGATTGAACAAGAAAATTGTAGTGATTTTTGCTGCTTTTAATCATTTTCAGCCATTGATTTGTATTTCCATATGGTTGCTCTATGTTGGCTCCTATAAGTAGTTTGCAATTTATCAATACATAATCCTTTGGAAGTTAAGTGAAGTGAAACAAAGGATGGTGAACATAGGATGCGTTCCAATAACCATACTACCATACTATTTTGTATGCCCCAATATATAATATGTCAAATGTAGTACGCCAAAAACACCAGGATGTCCGACTGCATCTGGTCGCGTTTCTTTTGCAGTATGCAAGCCCACAATCCTCTGAGCAGTGGAAGATACATGACATCGACTGAGCCGCCGAGAGTGCAGCCTCTAGTGTCATTGTACCGTATTATCTATTTTTCGATATGGTCATATGTTGTCTGGGTTGGAATCTGTTTCAGGTTCTGTGGCTGGTGTGCAGATGACCACCAACGCTTCCAGTTCACTTTGTCACAGTACACTCATGACATACCCAACCACAGGGCGCTCTACATGGACATGCTGCAAAGACTCTTCCCTGAGAAAACTAGACAAGAGCTGGTTAGTACTTTGGCAAAACGCACTGAGCACGTATAGTAAAATACTGATAGTTGTTGATATACTTTAGAATTTTTTTTGAATAAAAACAATTTTGACAATCAATTATTGGTATATTTCACGCAAAAGCTTGTTCAAGGCCCTCTTATGTTTTGGGAAGATTATTTGATGATGAAAATAATTGTTTGGGAAGTGTCGCTGGGGGAAATGCTCTTTTTTTTGGGGGTCCTGTTCACACTGACACACTTTCATTAACACCTTGAAGCTGCCGAACAAATTGATCTGATCTGCTGAGCATTTGGAGGTTATGTGTATTTATCCTGGGCACTGCCGCCCTTTTGGATATTTCTCCATAACATTAGTGCACATAAAAAACACACACACACATACTGTATATCAATGCACCTCCACTCGCACCCATCTAAAAATGTAACCCCCCCCCCCAGTCTGAACCACCCCCTGCAGTGTGACTCCCAGACTCCCTGATCAATGTGGCTCAGTAGATCGGATCTGAGCAGAGAGGCGCACAGATAAGCCTGGACACTGAGCCACTCAAAACGCGGCAGGATGTGCCGTGTTGCCCACTGTGGACCACTAGTTAATGCCACCACCTTGCATTGTCATGACAACCGCCAACCGCGCTCCCTCCCCCCCTCCTCACCCGCACCCAGAGACCTGTCCTCACATTAGTTCCAGCTGGGTGCTGCATTGACAGCTGAGATCATTCAGCCAGGCTGATACCAGTGTATTTTTTTTTACAGGCTTTTTTTCTGCATCTGAAGTGAACAACTGTGACATCGGTATCCAGTATGCTCAAAGGATGGTCCTCTGACTGCACCTGCACATTTTTATCTTTAAATAAAATGAAAAAAGAATCATGTCTGCAGTAGCAGTAGTCTGCTCTGGGCAGATATATCCTTCGTATTCGTTGAGATGAAAATTATTCCCATTGCTCTTGCAGACATATGGGTCGATTGGCAATCCTAAAGTTAGCACTGTAATGGCAAAATTTGTTTCCATGAAGTCAATGTCTTCGCTTTCAGCCGTTCTTATTTTGGTTTTTCAACCTCAGAGCGTTGAAGGCTTCTCCTGCTTGAGCCTTAATATTTTCCTCACCTGCCATTTAGTTCCATCCGCGTTCAATCATTTCAGAATGATAACATTATTTACCGTTGCTTCTGTCAGTCTGCTTTAAATTCTAATGCACGATACAGCAGCTCTGCTTTTAGCTAGATCGCAGGTGTGACATAAAATCACAGTTGACGCCTTTGTGCTGTGTAAAAATGTAAGAGCCTTGGTGATAAATCTGCTCCTGTATTCTTTTAAAAACATTTTTGTTTGTGGGGGTGAGGGGTAGGATTAAGAAGAATAGTTTGAGAGAGAACCTTCTTTTGTATATCCAAAGGAATATAGAGCAGAAACAAAAGGTTTAGAGAATTAGTGACATTTACTTACTTTTCTCTAACAAAATACTTTCTTATTGCAGTTTTTCTTACATGAAACTTACAGCTGCAATCCCAGTGTATATCACTATCTCAGTAAAGAGGCTCTTTATACAGTATGTAGAAGTATGTGGACATTTTCTGTGTTCTTTGTGCTGACCTAAAGTAGAACTAGTTTCTCAGTTTTACTATCAGATGGTGGTACTCCACCCAAAGTGGACATCTCCCTCTGCTGGATGGGGGTCTTTTTCTGGTTCTATTATGACATACTCCTTGATGTTCTCTAATATCAAGTAGGCCATTTCATAGCGATGTCCTCATAATGTTCCATGGCAAAAGTGGAAATAATTTATACCTCTTACCTTTTCTGACTGTGTCTGGGCAGCCACTCTTATTTTCCCCTTTGTGTGGCTCAGTCCTCGAGGAGACAGCACTCCGCAGAGGGAATGTGGATGCAGCAGCTAAACTAGATGTCGTGCCACTTTAAGTGTGCACTGCAGACACAGTGCGGTGGATGGTTCCACGTACATACTGGATCTAATGTGTTGGCTAAGGTGCATGCCTGCACATGTGCACATGCACATAGCCCTCTGAGGTAAATTTGTAATTTGTGATTTTGGACTACACAAAAATGAATTGAATTGAATATGTGCGAACACATACAGCGGGCATGAACACATACTGTGTTCTTGCCCACTCGCAACATCACAAGGAAGGCAAGGGTAGTGAAGGAGAGGACAAGGGTAGTAAATAACAAAGGGTGGATCTCAAGTTCTAAAGTTGTGCATTAATAAACAGGATTTGCTTGACTGCTTCTGGCACTTCTGTTCCGTTGGCAGTTCTGTCAGCTCACTCATTTTCAATAAAACCAGTCAGCCGTCTAATGCCTTCCCACCGTCAGTTAGCCGCTATTAGCCCGTAGATGAGTATCATTCCCTCTGTTCCAATGAAGCAGCCAAGTGATGCAGCCACTGTGACTGCTGACACAATGATGAATTGCTACAGGCAGCCCTCACACAGAAAGGAACTGTTTTCCTCCAGGACATTTCACAGCCAGGAGAGAGGGACCATTTTATACACCAGCAGAGCCAGAACTGACACAGAGTTTTCCCTGTGGTCCTGCTGCCATTATTATAGACAGTATATCACGTAGTGGTGTTGATTTCTGTTTGTGTGTCATCAATTGTGACCATCACTATGAATAATACAGCAGTGTTGCCCTTTGGGCGTCAGTCCCTCTTGCACACCGTGTTCCTCATATCCATTTTTGTGTTTTCGGTGATGTTTTTTGTTCAATGCTTATAAGAATAAATAACACACTTGACCCCATCCCATGTGCAAACACTGCCTTCTCCGTGCCATGCTCTTCTTCCAGGTGGAACATGAACGTGTGTGGGACTGGCTGCGCTTCACCCAGGCACAGCTGAGAGTGGTGACCCAGCAATGTCAGCGAGACCAGGAAGAGCTGCTGGCCAGAGCCCTGTTCACCCTGCAGGAGGCGAGACATGCCCACCAGGAGGAGCTGGAGCTCCACAGAGGCCACCAGCACCAGCAGGACATCTGCTCGCATCTCAGAGAGAAGGTTAGTCTTGTATACCTTTCCCACCAGGGGCTGTCAAACTTCAGGAACATTTCTATCTTCATGAGACGGCACTTTTTATGTTAGCATTTATGCTAAAGTTCTGTGCTTCCATCCCATATGTAATATGCGCAGGAAGTGGATGCATAACTTTGATAGTTTTCTTCTGCAGCTAATCCAATATGAGCTCTCTGTGATCTACTTCTTATTTTTTAAGGCACACTCACTCTCATTGACTGCTGGAGTGGACCCGTATATATTTAACAACCTTTTCCATGTGTGGATGTGGTAGTTGTGAGGAGCCAGACAGGCAATAGTGTCTGACTGCCTTCTTGTGTACAGTATATCTGCTGATGAGGCTGCATATTACTCCAGGCTGCCTGACAGCATCTCTCACTTTAGCTGCCACTTGGGATGGGCTGTGAATGCAAACAAGCTAATAAGGATGGTCTTGCAAACATGATGTTGCTGTCTCTGAGGGGTGCTGGTTCACATTCACACAACAAACGGGTTACTCATGTGAACAAATCCATGTGTTGTTGATGCAGTGCTGTGCAAATTGAATTTGCTTTGCCTGCCAGTTTGAAGAAAAAAAATAGTGCTGATGTCCTATGGCTGATTAGATAAGAAGAGTCTGATGTACTGAGAGGGTTTGTGTGGGCCGTCACCACTGAGCCTAGTTTTGTCAAATAACACGACGTATCACCAAAGCGGGAGGCAGAACGCTGGTTTAGTTTTTTGCACTGTTTACAGGAACAAGGTCCTAGGTTTGCTTCCTTCCAATCTGTTTGCTTGCGCTCACCCCCTTTGCTTTATTTATCAATCTCTCTTTTTTCAGTGTTTTGTAACCTCAAATGCCCCCAAACGTCTCTTGTGGACATGCCAGCCAAAGTTACAGTTTAAAAACAATATACATATTTACATCATGGGAGGTAAAACCAGTTATGTTGTGAACTAACAATCCAACAAGCCTACTGTAGGGATATTTTATGTGTTGGGACAATAGGAACACAACATGACAATCTCTCTATTAGTCATAGGGGGCACCCCCCTCCCTGTACCACTTGCCTTGTGCAATAGTGGTTTTTCCCATCTGTCACAATTACATCTTTTCCCCATTTCGATTTTCCCCTCGTCTTTTATTTTAGGGTTATCATTTAATTTTATAGTTCGGCTGCAAAATTGTGGCATAAAAACTGTCTCTTCATTTCACACGCTGCGTGTAAATGTGCAACTTGTGCAACAAACACTTAAGATAAAGCCAACAGCACTCTGATTAATTGCAGCGCACCTGATCCCTAACACCAAAATCTCTCTCGCTAAACCTAAAACAAAGGTTGGGCTGGAAGGACCATTTCAAAAGAGGCTGCCAATTGATGTTTTGTGTCATGTATATATTTCCTGCCTCATCTTCCAGCAGAAAGATGCTGAAGTATTTGCAATCACTGGCATTACTCTACTTAACTTAGGGGCGACTGTGGCCCAGTGATACAGTGGGTCATCCTTCAATCAGAGGATTGGTGGTTCGATCCCCGATCCCAAGACCGCTAGTCCACGTCGATGTGTCCTTGGACAAGACACTTAACCCCAAATTTCACGGAATTCAAATACTCCTACAGTTTCTATCAAGCAGCAGCTTGCAGATTCTTTCACTTTGACTAGTATAATGCATTATGTTGGACAGATAGTTTTTCTCCTAACTTGCTTATATTATGTGGCTGATGATTACATTTAAATGGACTGTGTTCACTTTATCCTTCACTGTGCTCTGCCATTTTCTACTGGTGTAAGTATAGCAATGCAAATTCAAGGACACTTCACATTCAGTTCTACCTTAAATACAGCTGCAACAACCGTGGCCTAATAAAGTTGTGGGGAGAAAAGACATCACAGGTTTCTAAAAGGAAGTAATGTGTTATTTAAGACAGTGACATGTCCATGCAAGCTAATTTTTTCTGTATTTTTGAAAACAACAGGGTCCTTTGACTTTCAGTTTGGGTAAATCTGAAGCAGAACACAAACTAAATGCCTCTGACTATTGCAAACACATTTCTGAGTTTTGTTTTCATGGCTCTGTGAGGCAATAAGAAAAATAAAATCACCCAGACATTTTCATTCCCATGATTTTTTCCACCTCCATGTTTTTTGTTTATGCAGTGCATGTTCACGTATTTGAGTTTGTGTGGAGGCTCAGATGGATGCCTGTTTGCATCCAATCTATTTTTTTCCACTGCCTTTATCATCCCAGCACAGCGGTGAGACAAGATATAGTATATTGTTGAAGAAAATCATCATTTAACTTAGGATTGAAGTGAACACATTTTGGCTTCACAAGTAAACAGCTTATATAACACATTCTGGCTCATAGAAACATTCTTAGGAAATGATCAGTGCGCGCCAGACAAATTGTAATAAATCTCTCCAGTCTTACCAAAACATTTCCCGTAAAAGAGTCATGTGTTCTGCCAAAGGTTACCTTGAGCCAAACAAAGTCATGAGAACATAATGAAGAGGCCAGATGTGCTTTGTTTTTGGTTCAACGGACTGGTTTGATTAGTGGAAAGTAACTTAAGGGGGGTGAATCTTGACTATAAAAGTGATCTGTGAAAAGTAATACATTTGGATTTGTTTCGATATGCTGAACTGGTTGATGTTGGCTTGATCTTATTAAAACACTTCCCGCTGGTTGCAGACTTCAGTTCGCCGTCTCTTCTCGTCCTTTTGCCACAACAATATTCTCCTCCTGTAGCAGCTGCTTCTTTAACGTTTTCTTTTCTGCAGCTGCTCCCTCTGACCTAAACAACTCCACCGACTCTACTGTGAGTCATTACCCCTCTTGAGATCAACTCCCTTTCTACAATCTAAATTTGATCCCTATTTTACTGTGTGTGCTTTATAGTGTGCTATGATTTTGTAGAAATTGATTTACATTTACTGAATATTTGGGTGAAATTGATTCATATTTATTAATTATTTGGGTAAAATTGAGTTGGATTCACTAAATAAAATAAATTATATCAACTCACATTTTAGCACATTGTTACTTAATTCAACACATTCCCACTGCTATTCTAACTTTAAATCTATTCAATAATATTGATTGTCACTTTGTTGCCATCATTTTTCGATGTCTAATTCACTCAATATATGCCATCTTGGTGCCACAGTAAACTTAACTTGGGCTAACAGGTCACCATGCATATACAGGTAAACATTTTGCAAATTTGTTTAAACATGCTTATCGAACACTTTTCATGTGCAAAATAAAAAAATTAAAAAAACAAAAAACAGAAAAGGGCTATAAGAAAAATAAAACCGAAACAATTGCAATTCCATGTCTAATATTATGACAGTTTTTTCCAGATTAAATATTTTATTTATTACATGCACAGATTAAAATTCTAAGGGCCAATGTGTTTTACAAATGACTTATTTCTTCATTACTTGCTAAAATGGGACTATAAGCAGAGCTGAACAAGTTCAAAGTAATGGTAGACGGACTTGTACTTGTATTGCACCTGTAGTCTGCCGACCACTCGGAGCACACTACACGTCATTCACCCATCCACACCCAATCATACACTGATGTCAGGGGCTACCAAGGTCTCACCTGCCAATCAGGACAAACTAACCATGCCCACCCAGTCAAACACCATAGGCACATTCTTCGGGAGCGATTTGGGGTCTTGCCCAAATCCACATCAACATGGACTGGAGGAGCCAAGGTCCAAAAGGCCAATCTTCTGAGCCACAGCTGAATAAACATTTGAAATAGTTAGCTATTAGTAAATAATGAGTATAGGTGACATGGCTAAAGTGTTGGACGGCCAGTTTATTTAGTTAAATAAAACTTAAAAGTAACGGATATGCATTTGAGATCGTCGGATAACATTGTTGGATGAAAATGGAAAACAGTCGAAATAGTCAGCTGAAAGCAATGGACAAACAGTAAAAATAGCTTAATATAAAGTATTGATGTATTTGCCAGCTGCAACAGCAACGCTGGTTTTATTTCCCCCGTGTGAGTCTGTGTGTATCATCATGGCACAATGTGGTCCTGGAGACACCTCCTGTAGCAGGACCAAGCAGTTTTGAGTACCGGCAGGTGTCACTGCGATAGACGTTGTCACGATACTTTACGAGTGTGAAGTAGAGGCTAAAATGTAGGCAGAGTTCAAAGGTCTAAGCAAGGGTACCAGGAGTATGCGGGTAGGAAGTGGGCAAGGGGCTGTTGTCTAACTGCTTTAAGAAACAGAGTAGAAAAAGGACTGCTGTGATGGTACCTGTCAGCTAAAGTAGTAAATTGTTTCCTTGTTATATTTTCTAGCTGTGATTATGCAAATAAACACTCTCCACATCTCATCTTCTCTGTGCCTCCACGGGTTCAGATGAGAGTGTATATTGGACGGTTTTTGGTCAGTGCTGGTCTGGTTCTTCTGACCTCGCGATTGGGAGCAAGGCGTGTCCTGCCAGCTCTCTGCTGAGGAACATGCAGTGGGAGGAAATCCAGGGTAATTGATTTCTGAGTGAGCTTGTAGCCTTCTATTTTGGAAAGGGCAAGGCTGTCACACAGACAACCGCTTCTTCCTGAGAACCAAAGATTGGCCATGCAAAGATGGCTGGCTAGATTCATGTGTCATGGACACAGACGACATTATTGATCAAAAAGCAGTTGCTCACCAGCTCCAGATGTGATATACGTGTTGTGGAAAGTACAATAAAATACATTCAAATAAGATAACTAGCAACACTGCATGCATTGGATTTTTGCATTGACTCTTTTTCTCGAATCATCAGCTGTTGGTTCTGCAGTGTTCTGGCTGCTGTAATTAGCTGGCATTGTTCTTGGTGTTACTGTTCATTCAAGCCTTATGCTGTCCTTGCTTTCTTTTTGCCTCCTACTTACATCTTACCAACAGGCATCTTTGAGGAGCAATTGTGTTTTTCACATTAGTAAATAGAGCTTGAGGGATGACAGATTGTTGCAACATGCTCAGGGGGGGAAACGATGAGCAGCAGCAGCAGGAAAAGCAACACAACAATTGAAAGAAGAAAAGGTTTTCATCTTTTTTTGCATAATCAAATTTTTTTTCATTTCCTGCTCTTCAAAGTACTTTACAATATAAAAAGCTCCGTTACAGATTAACATATACTGCCATTCACAAGTTGGGAATCACCTGTTATATCGATGTTTTTCTTCTTTCCTTCAAAAATTGCTATTTGAGCATAGATAATAAACAGTATGAGTTAGATACCAAGTATTTTATTTACATTTCAGATCATTTTAGCCCCAAAAGATGAATTATTAAATGCTGCCGTGTAGTCGATGTCCTACAGTGTTGCATGACAGGGGAGAATACTGTTTTTACCCCCCGAATACCCTTCGATTTTGAATTTGTCTTCCAGTCCAGAAAAGCGTAAGTGACACTTGATCATTATTGAACCACAGCGGTGCAATTGGGCTTTAAATATTTTGGAAACCTGTGTTTCTTTGGGCCCTCTGCACTCTACCCAGTGGTTAGATTAGTGTGAACTGTCAGTCCATAATATGTTTAGTACACCGGGTTAATTTCAGCTTGTTTTAGGCATTACTGTGCACTCAAACACAATACCAGTGACTTTTCTTCTGTTCATATTCAAATGTGGCTCAGAGGTATTTTGTCTTTTACTGCCATTTCAATTATCAGTCTGGTTGAACCATTGTACAGTGTTTTGTTCCCCATGTACAAAACATTACTTTTTTCCTACAATATAACATCTATTTGTAAAGAGGCCTTTCTACTGAGTACAGTCCTCCCACATCTGACTGTAACAAATCAAGCGTTTGTAGCAGGAGATTCCAAACTTTTTGAACGTCAGTGAACCTGGATGATCTGTGTGTCCTTCCTGCAGTAATCTATGTGTTTTGTAGGCACTGTGGGTTAGCAGATCCCCAGCTGTCACTGAGTGTTGGTGACTAACAAGCACAACTCTTCATTCTCTGGTGGTGGAAGGGACAAGGTAGAGTCTCAGTGATTGACACCATGCGTGGGCCACATAGTGTTTCAGCTGACAACTTGGAGGAGTTAATTGCTCAAATGTGTATAATTTTTTCTCTGCAAAATCATGTACCTGTTATGGACCTCAGGAACATTCTTATTGTGCCAGCTGTGGAAATACAAAGATAATTGCATAGTCTCATTTTTCTCATGTCTTAATGGACGCTAGTTCTTGTCCCTTTAAAGATTCGGTATAATATATCTCATGCGTCAGTGTCACTCTGTAGAGTGGTGCCACATATGAAGCAGTGGTGCTGTTTATATATATATATATATATATATATATATATATACACACCACACATTGTCTTCAGTTTGCTGCTTTAATTCACAGCATTGATATTGGTGCAAGATCAGTATGAGTTCATATCCAATCTGTTTCCCTCATCTGTTATCTATTTAAAGTTTGTCATTAAATGACCTGCAATGGTGAGTTACAATAAAGGCTGCTGCTACTCCCCCTGACAGAAGACATCACGATAACTGTACAGTTATATTAAGAAAGGCTTTGAGCAGGCTGCCATGTGCAGATAAAAAGGCTGTCATTCTTTTGTTATTCTGACATCTCTGGAGTCGTTTTTTTGTGCTGCCATGAAAAAGGATGGCGTCCCGTTTCCCTTTGAATTCACAGAAAATGAGATTCCGGTGACAAATTACAGTAGACTGAACATAATGACCATTTTATTCTCTTTGTGCCGCCTAAAATGCCTTTTCATCTGCCTAAACAAGAAAGGCAGACAAAATGCATTCAACCAATGTGCTTTCTTCTGTGTCTGTGGGTCTATGGCTATAAAGATACATTTCAGATTGTTCTGTGACCTTGAGTGACCAGTGCAATTGAACTTTAGATTCTTGCTTTATGACAAAGATAGTGCTATCTGTTATGTGCACAAATCTTTGTTTTTTTTAGTCTGTATGTCTCAAATAAAAATGCTTTCCAGACCCACCAGGTTGTTTACACACCTCGTCTCTCAATGTTCCAAACATCAAACAGCTATCTCTTATCGGGGCCAGGCTGGAGTTTGATGGATGGTTTAATTATGGACGCTAGTTTTTCTGGTTTCTTCTTTTTTTTTTAAAATCTAAAAGCAAAGGTTCTTTAATTTCATTTTCAGAGGGAGAGAAGGAGAGAAAGTCGAGGAATGACATGCAACAAAGGCCTCCAGGTGGCCTCGAATCAGGGCTGTTACTGCAGGTGTTCAGCTTCTGCGTTAGAGCCCCAGCCCAACAGGACGCCTCAAATTATGGATAGTTTAAACCCTTTTTATGCATGATATGGAAAACATCACAGAGCTGTGCAGTATTTGCTATACATAAGGTCGACACTCGTGGACCATAATGTCAACATTGCTTGTTATGGCTTGTGTTATACACCCAAACATGGTGTTGCAAGTTAAGATACCCACAATGTGCACTAAAGAACTATAATAGGCATTACATTTACTTGAAACCTGAATGTGCTATTTAGGTTTTGTAAAGGAGTGGTGTTTTGCTCGGGGCACCAATAGTAGTTATTGGAGTCATTACTGTGACCTTTCGCATTCACAAGATTGTATTACACAAGGCAGTATTGGAATCAACGCTAACACCAAAAGGTGAACATTACATATCAACACACAGTACAAAGGACAAAAGCAGTGGACGGTGCACGACTACTGGAAAACAGTTATGGTATGTGGTACTCAGTCACTGCTCTCTGGATTGCATATTGAACCCAGTTCCAGGAAATGATAGATGATAAATGTCTGCATGAGGGAACATTTTGATTTCTAATGAAGAAACTTGTTGCCGCCCCAGCTTCAACACTTCTCAGATGGAGGTGGATTAGAGGCTGGATTGTTTTAAAGTCCCCTCTCTCAAACACACAGCTGCTGCTTTTTCTCAGGTGGACATGAAGTGTGATTGACTTGATGATACCACTTGTGCTAATGTGTGTGAGACCTTGTTAATTTGCAGTTCATTCCTTCGGGGATTCCTAAGCTCTCCACTGATAGATCTGTGAATCTGTCTGCCCGATCGGAATGCAACACTCTAATACCCAGCATGCCGCAGAGAGGCTACTGCATAACGAACCTGTCACTCACCCCCCCCCCAGCAAATGTTGGACTGAATGTGTGAACGTGTGATAAATTTAGACCGTCTGTTTCCAGATGTCTAGCTGGGTGAGTGAAGATTGCTTTCTCTGCAAGCATTGAAGCATGTGAACACAATTTTAGAAGACAAATATTTGTCAACTTTCCTGTCAAGACAAATATATCTCCATGTTTGGTGATTACTGGAAGTTTGTACACACTCGTAGTTTCATAAAAGCCTTTCAAACTGGATAATGACAAAAATCCATAGTCATAAAGTTGCATTCCTTTGGTTATTAAAATCTGATATTTCAGATATCTATTGTTGCCCAATAGTTTTAAACTAAAAGTTACTGGTAAGAATCTTTAAAGTTTAAAGGTTGGATGGGCATAGGTGACAGTTTTGTTTGACTTTTTTGAACTATGATACCTTTCCTGAATTGCCGCATGAGGACAGAATAAGCATTATAACTAGAATATGTTCTATTTGCTATAGAGCTCAAACGCAAGGGTTTTCTTTATTATTCAGTGTTTTGACGTGTCCTGAGGTGATCTAACACAAAGTGTGAAAGGAAGCTTTGACACCTCCTCCTAAGTCCTTGGCACCGTGGCAGTGGGGCTCAGCTGTGAGTGATTCTTTCAAGACGGCTGTTAACGGACTATAACCTGCTTTTTTTTTTTTGTTTCTCCCTGGTGCGTGTTTGCATGTGTCGACGTAGCTGCAGCAGTGGCGGGCCCAGCAGGAGGAGGTGGCAAAGCTAGAGGCAGCTATAGCTTCTAGACAACAAGAGGACGAAGAGGCGAGGCTAAAGAGGGAGCAGGAGAAGGAGGCTGCTGTCAGATCACAGCACAAAGAGAAAGTAAACATCATAACACCCATCACACTGAATGTATCGGTTGTTTTCCTGCAGCATTTTTGCTCCATATCAAAATGTGTGCATTTGAGTGTGTACATCACATTTTACTGTCCTTTTTTATGATTTCACAATATTTGTAAAAACATGTATTATGATCAAACCACGTACAATTTAAAAAGTGGTGAAAAAGCAATCTTCATAGGTATTTTACAGTAAATATTCTTTGTAGATACTATAGCAGGTGGTATTTTGTATCCTGTGCCCACACCATTCATATGTTGTGTGCACAACCTATTACCTAGTTTTATCTTAAGGAAAAAATAACAAGATATTTCCCTATAATTTCACTTGTAGACACTTTTAAATAACTTGTTTGCATCTTTTGGGACAATTGGAGCTCTCTATAGATAAAAAACATATTACCATACTATATCATAAGGTTTTCAATTAATGCTTGCCATTCGATAAAATTAGACTAGCTTTAAGTTGCCTCCCAGTTGTTGCTACATTGAAGTTTTTTTATTTACGGGCACCCATGGAGATCAAATTAAAAGCATACATTGTTACAATTATCTGGGCGTTTTGATCATTTAATTTGGTTGTTGTCCTCACAGGTACAACTGCTCCACAATCTGTGTGTGTGACTGTTTAATTATTTCGCTCCTCAGGGGTCTGCTTGGAGAACGTGGGCAACCTGAGACACTCTGATTAATGAGAGCATTTAGGCTGCATTGGATTCCATATCATTTAGCACAATAGTCTGCCGGGCATTGAAATATCATCTCATTCTTTCTATTTAAACTTATCTGATTCCTGCTCTGTCACAATCAATAGGACATGATGATCTTAAAGAGTTCTGTAGGAGTCAAATTCTATTCTGGTGGCTGTTGTTAACTTTTTCTTGTTTTTCTTTGTAAATTGTTGTTTTTTCCCCCAAGGTCAGGCAGTTTCATTTACAGCAGCAGACGAGGAGGGAGATGCTGGAGGCGAGGGATCAAGAGAGACTCGCTAATCTGAGGAGCGTCATGGAAGAACAGGCAAGGCGAGATAAAGAAAGGTGAGTGTTGCACGATGGGACCTTGAGTTTTCAAAGAGATGCTAAAAGAGTTGCTAATATATAAGCCTATATAGAATACATTATTATTATCAAATATACTACTACTTCATCTACACTTCCAATATCAAGCTAACTTTACTCTTCTTTATGTAACAGCTATGTAGTGAAGGACCGGGCGTTTTTGAAGGTTAAAGTCAGTAGAGTAGAGTCACCCAACTTTATGGATGTGCATTGCAAAATTGCTGGACTATGCCTTTAACTGAAAGAGAGACTAGGAGACTGATAAACAGCACCTCGTGTCAACATAACTCCTGGATTGAATGTCACAGACGGGGTGGCTTTGGCTCAATGGGTAGAGCGGGTCATCCTCTGACCACAAGGATGGCAGTTCCTACTCCAAGTTGCTTCTGGGGGCTTTACAGCAGCCCACTGCTCCTCAAATGCTTAGGATGGGTTAAATGCAGAGATTAAATTGCATGTATGTAGCTGTATGAATCTGATGATTGTAATACATTTTAAGACTGTGGGTGGATTTGACCTTTAACTCCTTAATAAGCTGCGCCTGCCGTCGTTACACTTGAAACTTTTGCCCAGAGGGAGCAGTGCCAAAACTGCATTATATAGTTTAAAACACCCTGTTTGGTGCAATTTGCTTAGCATTTCTCTGCAGACACTCACAGAGTCTGGCATTAAAACCAGATAATGATGCTGACTTTGGCTGTGAGAATGAACTTGGCAGGAATGAGAACAGCAATCATGGTGGGGCTGAGGAACAGATTAAAAAAAAAAGACGATGGGAGAGGAGCTGCACTCTGGCAGCTCCATAAAACCCTCCACCGCCCGGAGGCCTGCTGTGTCAGGAGCGATAGGTAGGTCATGGCAGTGGCAGAGGAGGAGAGGGGCTGTTCGGGTCTGATGTCCACACCCTCTGTGCTCCCTTCAGGGTCCTGTTTCGGGGCGATATGTTGCAGCGGCGAAGGGAGGAGAGAGAGGCACGGGAGCTTGAGCGGCTGAGAGAAGAAGAAGAGAAACAGAATCATCTGGAAGTTCTCAGAAACCAGGTGGGTCTTTATATACGTTTGTTAACCCTTTTAATCACTCTTGAGAGATCACTGCCACCCTATGGCAGTAAATAAAAATAAAATTATCTCTATGTTAAATGCTTTTTTCCCCTCTTTATCTCAGGTTAGGGTGGTGGCAGAGGCAGACCCAGAGAGGATGATGGCAGATACAGAGGCTTGGAGGGGTCGACTCTTGAATGTAGAGGAGTTTCAGCTCCAAAGGCCTCTCTATAGCATCAACACGTACACAGACACACAGGTAATGCATGATAGCATCTACCCTCCTGAAACCTTTAGTTTCTGTTTGAATTATTACAAAAGCTCTACAGCTATATGGTCCTTTGCCCCTAGCTCCCACACAGTATGACTCTTTCCCCAGTTTCCTTGAATATTCCACCGTTTACAGAATGTTTAGTTTCATCTGAGGTGAAACTGACCCATGCAGGGCAGGACAATTGTGTAAGCTGGTTGGCTGGTCAATCAATGTTTTACCTCATGTCAAAAAACTTGTATACACAGCCTTGATCTCAATGTGTGTGTGTGTGTGTGTGTGTGTGTGTGTGTGTGTGTGTGTGTGTGCGCGCGCGCGTGTGTGGTTTAGTCACCATGGTTCGAGTTTGCTTATTGTGTAACACAAGCAGTGACTAATGATTGTCACTCATTCAAATCTTCTCCTCTAATACCAAACTGTGAAGGATTAGTGATTAATCTTGTTGTAGGTATTAAATGCATAGTAAACCATAAAAACAAACAATGGTATCGCAGCGGGGTGATTTAGTGTGAAACCGCCGGATACGTATTATTTATTGTGGATTTCCTTTTTACTTCTGTTTTCCAGATTGTGTCTGATCCAAGAGTGCGGGTTGAGCAGGCTCTACGGGAGGCTGGTCTGCACCACAGCCAGTATGCCAAAGACCTCCTCTCTGTTATCAAGCCCCCTAAACCACCGAGACGAGATACCAAATCCATACTCAAATTCTGACCGGGGGCTTGTTTGGGGTCACGTTATTAAGTCCAACCCTTGTTCTGCTTTTATCAAATGTAAATGTATGCTTTTTAATAAGCTGCACGTGTAAGAATCATATTTACAGTTGGACAGATCACACAGTTTAGTGTGACCAAGTGACACAGAGCAATTACCGTTATTGACTTTTATTGAAAGTTTTATACTCTTCAACACCTCATGAGTAATACAGTATCATACAGTAGCACTGAGTGACAATAAACATGCAGCTCTAACAGATGATGATGACATCTCTGCACATTTATCAATATTTATTGACCGTTTGTTACTTTCAGGAATTGTGCATTTGCATAAACAAGCTTGTGTGGCACAAACAACTCAATGACATTGATTATGTGTGTGTGCTGCGAACAACACCCTAACTTTCTGTGTGTGTGTGTGTGTGCTGGACACACCTGACTTCCCTCGTGGATGCTCTCACTTCCTCAATGTTCGAGCGCGTTTCAGGTTACACCCGTTTATGTGTTCAGACAACAACCCAACATCTGTTATGATCTCAGCCTTTAAGGACCCCACCCTGCTTACATCAGCTCTTTCCACACACACACAGACTTCACTTTACTCAGGTACACATACATTATTATTATCAGTTTTACATTTGTTAAATCACTTCATTATTCTCATGTAATACATACTTGCTTTAAAATGATTATTAGATTTCATCCTTTACTTAATTATATGCTTTGTGTCCCTTTAGCCTACTTTCATATCGAACTGTATTCCTTCATTAAAGGCAGCTTTCCTGGGATCTCAACACCTTTTTTGACACCATCTAACAAGCAAATAAGAGGAAATACCTTTTTAAGTAGAGGCTTCTAACAGACTGCAAACCTCCAATGGAGGTCAATCATTTCCCAACACACCCAACAGTTTTTGTTGAGTTACAAGTGCAAGTCAAATACTAAAATCAACATACAGAACACATTCTTTAGAATGATTGTTACCTTACATAAAGTGTTAAATATTAACAATACGATATATACTTTCATATACTTATGCAACATACTTAATATTTGAGCTTCATCATAGAATCATAAAACTCATAACTTTTTAAAATAAGCGTCTAATACACATTAACATGTTAAAATACGGTATATATACATGTAAACATATCAGCTATATATGTACACTCTATTTGGGATGCTGGGGTTGGGATGGCAGATGTAGGGATTTTATACGACATGCCCCAGGCGTTTCTTGATAAAGTGGGACACCAGGACTTGAGGTCTCTGCTGATACTCCTCCAGAACATCATGCGAGGCGGTGATCTGGTCTCCCTCAAAGCGGTTCAGCAATGCAACACAGACCACAGCCCCTGGAGAGAAAAGGGAGATTATTGGTCATATAGTGCAACTATTTTCTAATTTCTTTGGGCCTCACTTCATTGGGTCAAATCATAAATCAATTGAGGCTCTGTATTCCGTACAGTTTATGATCAATATAGAGGTGTTGCAGAGGCAAGATGTTATCTTCAAAGCCATAAATAATCTGTGCCACTGTACAGAATACATTTCGTAACGCAAACACTATATACACTAATACCTTTGAGTCCACAGACATGACACATGGCCGCAAATACGGAGGACTCCATTTCAATATTCCTCACTCCGGCCTCGTAAGCTTTCCTCAGATACTCCAGTTTGTCTTCATGAGAGAACGAGCAAAGAGCTCCGTCAAGTCGGCCTTGACCTAGAGAGACACAGCACAAGATCTGTCACTATCCGACCACTGGTTGTGTTCTGATGAAGTTCTCTGTGAATATGATCACAAAACAACCAGAGCATGAGGTGTTTACTTTCATAAAAGTCATCGGTGCACATGGTGGTTGCAATCACTGTGGGGAAGTGTTGAAGCTCAGAGGAGCACTGCAGAAGCTCATTGGCCACTCCCTCGTCCAGCTCAGTGCGCCTGGTGATAACTTTACCCAGAACCACCTGCTGAAACTGGGGGAGGAAGGAGAAGTCCACTGCTTTATCCGTGACCACCACTGTCCCAGCAGCCAGACCTAGAGACGGCACCGGGCAGACATTTTAAATACGATTTCTTTTAAAGTCCCTGCCTGATGAACCAGGATGGAGGAGAAATTCAGGGAAGGCACCCTTTTGAAAAAGGTTTTCCAACACTTTCAAAACAAAATGCAATGTGCTTACCAACACCACCAGATGTTCCAAGGCGAAACAGGACCACGCCACGGCACTGAGCGTGGTGCAGCAGTTTGATGAGCTCATGCAGCAATATAGAGATGGAAGGGACACCCATTCCATGCTGTGATAGAAACAAGATCAGCATAGAAATTACTTTCAAAACAGTCAACTTATTTAACCAGTAATGCAATATTTGAAGCACTTGGCAGCTGAAGTAAAGCCTACTAGGACAGTACACGCCTTAGTTCTGTAATACTTACACTAATAGAGAGCACTGGTCCCACTTTATACATGCAGTAACGATCAGTCGCCTCGCAGATATCTGTGACTTCCTCTGGGTTTCCAGGCAGTTTCAGTTCCTGGTGGATGAACTGGGCGAAAGCCTTCATTCGATTCGAGCTGCCTCCAACACACACAAACTGTGCGAAATAAGAGAAAGAGGACGAGTGAATTCCGTTTTCTTGCTTTTGAAATTGTAAACCCCAAAATTGTGATTTAGTTTTTTTATTTTAGCATTTCACAAACCTTAATATCTCCAAACATTTCTGGAAGATTGTGAGTCTTGGTGCTCAAGCTGAGGTGGTAGAGAATATCCTCCTCCATGGTGTCCAAGTAGGGATTCTTCACTTGGACTAGTTGTCTACGGGAAATTTAGTATGGCACATTAACAAAGGGTCAATCAGTGCTCCCAATGGATTACCAAAAATATTACAATGGCTTTTGAAGAGCAACAAGAAGCAACAGTCAATTCCAATCTAGGGTGATCAGACGTCCGGATTTAGGCCGGACAGTCCGGATTTTCAATGCCCTGTCCGGCGTCCGGCGCAGCATCAAGCCGGACGCGTATTTGTTCTCCTTTTTGGAGTTCCACTGGGCCTAAAGAGCCGCGCGATAGTATATTTTGCTGGAACGCAGTCTAACAAATGATTGGTTAAAAGCGTTGTCAAATAAATATCTGATAGGCTTAGGTTGGGTTCTAGCCCTATATCATTGGTTAAAAACGTAAACAAGGCTCCGTGTGCTGGCTACGTCATATCTACGCACTGAGGCCGACTGACCTCAATCATCAGAAACCGACGTCGCTTCACGTGCCGCTTCAGAGGAAAGGACGTCTCATGTCTGTTGAAACATATCTCCTCGCGTCTTCTCTCCTCTCCATTTGTGTCTGTACATGATCACTGTACAGAGTTGTTTTCTGGTCAGGGCCGTTTTCAGCGAACATTCCAATAAAAATGCACTTTAAATATTGATTAAAAAAAAGATCGTATGTTTTCAGTTGATTTAATGGTGTTAAACTACTACTTATATTAATAAAGACACAGTTATCATCACTGTCAGAGTCAGTAGTCTGTTACCTGTTAAACAAACTGCATTGAGTATTTTTATACGTGTGTGGTATTTATACACAGTGTGTGTATTTATACTGTGTTCTGTGTCCTGCTTATACGCGCAGCATCGTTTCTACCGGCGGAATGCGTCTTATTTATTCATTATTTACGTCGGTATGTTTTTAAATTCTGATTGTGACGTCATTATAAAATAACCCACAATGATTATGGTTTCTCTTCATTACATGTTGTAAAAAGTGTTTCCTCTCTCCAGCTCTATGATTTTAATTACATAATACAAGTTATTTAGGGAAACAACAGATCAAATCTTTTTACAAATGAAGAAAGTTGTTTGAGGTCTTTTGTTGTTCAGACTACAATGAACATATTTTAACCAGATGGTGAATCAGAAAACAGATCTAATATATAACTTGAGTTTAATCAGTGATCGTCTTCACTGTGGTATGAAACTCCAGCGTCAGACCGCTCAGCTGCAGCGTCCAATCAAATAACAAATGAACAGTGAGGGGGCGTGTCCAGCGTGCTCGTGGCTCCTCCGATTTGGGACGCACCCATAGGAGAAAACATGCCAAAACGTCAGACGTCGTTCAACCCAGAATGGACCAAAGAACATGGTTTGATTTCAAAAAGCAGTCGAGACTCCTTTCATGGCTTCTGCACTCTCTGTCGCTGTGATGTTGACATAAGCAGTCAGGGTAAAGCTGCCATTGAAAGACATGCGGGAACAGAGTGAAGGTGGAGTTTGCTTGAATACAAGTGGACTGCTGCACACATACACGGATGAAGACACTGCACACAAGTCCCCAATAGACTGAATCACTTTAGAAATTCTTTACTTTTTGAGCCGTTAAATGTTAACCAAATTTGTTTGGTTTTCTTCATGCTTTTAAAACATTCATTTATCTGTTTATTGTTTATTATTTATGTGACCTGTGATTTAATTTGTACATTTTAAGTCCACAAATGTTATGCTTTGTGGCACTCAGCACAGTGGTCAGTTTTTGAACACCACAATGTATTGAACAAATACTGTGAACAAACACTTTTTGACTCTTTAAGACTATTTTTTCCTATTCTGTTACACATACATCATGGAGCAATCACACAAAGTTGTATTGTAGAGGGGAGCACGCCAGAGTCCTATGCAATTATTCACAGCTTCACTAAATACCGCAGTGTCCTCCTTTTTGGTGTTATGGATCTGGTCACCCTATTCCAATCTGATGTTCCCAAATACTCACTTGATATAATCTTTGTGGTCACTCCCCATACAGGTCAGTACAATTGGTTCCATGACTCCAGGAGACGCTTTGAAATCCAGGTTAAAATCTCTTCAAAAGTTGTTCTTCTGCAAAAAAAAACCCTCCAAATTCTCGTTGCGGCTGTTTTTGAATAAGAGTTGTGTCTGACTACAGAGCTGCTATAGCGGGGACGTCTGATCCTGCCACTGATTGGTTCCCGAAAGTGGAGTAGCACCCGTCCTTGCCCTCGCAAAAACATTCACCACACCCAAACAAACGGAGCGCAAAAACATCCACCACACCCAAACAAACGGAGCGAGATCGATCGCGGGAAAATGTGTTGGCTCAGTTCCGGAGCGTCAGTGTACCTTTAGATATGAAAAGCGTCTGAGGATGTTACATAATGTTATAATGTTATGACACAGCTTTCCCAAAGAACACTGAGATAACCTCTGACATTGACATGTCATATTTTGTTGTGGTGAAACTAAGACACGCACACACACACACACACACACACACACACACACACACACACACACAGAGAGCTAATTTCATGTACAGCCAACTGAACTGCAGTGAATATTTTCCCTGCAAAAATCAACTACATCAAATCCTGTATTTTATGGGTTGTTTTAACGGTAATGTTACATTGTTGATCCGAGAAAATGGACCGTTATTTGCTGTAATGTTACAGTGTTATGTGGCAAATTCATAACGTTCAAATGTCCGCCCAAGAAAGAAAATACAATTTATATATGTATATAAGACCAAAGCAAAAAAAAAAGATTGTGAAACACTTTAAATCACTTTTAATTTTATTTGAATAATCAAAACTTCCCTTTACAGAGTTACAGATACAGCAAAACAACAAAAGACTGACTGGTGCCTTCTTTACTGAAGGAAGTCAGTTATTAATGAGGCACCACTAACACGCACAATAAATAAAAGGTCTATAGCTTTAATTCAATGAAGCACTTCCACACTTAAGTAATAACATCTGACAGAACAGATCACTTGGAACTAAGTAAAACACTTGATGTCGCTCAGTATGAAAGGGTTAATAAATGGAGGGATGGCAACTATTCCTGTTGGAAGCATTGGAGTTTCTGTATCCTTTTCCCACGGCACTCGCAGTCTTCTAATCTGTTGACATGGAAATGTGTACAAGCACAAGTCATTCACCTAATCACAGTTCACTAATACTCTCCACATTATACTGTCAAGAAGCATCTTCAACTCTTAATGACTGAAATCTTCCAAGTTCACACCCTTTGGCTTCATTTCCTGTAGTTATCGTGAGGTGAACTTTGATAGCATGATGAAGAGAGGAGATGATTGAGGGTGACCTGGAAGATTTGTAGCTCCAGCTGTCAGAAACACTGAGCTACTTACTTGACAAATCAATGTTGTCTGTTGGTTTGTTGTCTTCCGCATAACCAAAGCTCAACAGCTTAGACATGTCGACGGGAGATTCATTCTTGCCAAATGTTCTGAGAACACCAAAGACAAAATGTTCAAATATCACGGAAATGCAGTTATTAGATAACTTTTTCATCAAAATGAAACCAAATGGTGCCAATGTATTGTAAATGTTTGTCATCCCCACAAAATGTCTATCAGATTCAAATGAGGGACGACAGCTGGCACAGTGCAAACATTCAATCTGGACCCTACCCTTTAAACATTGTGCTACTCATTGCAAAACATCTCTTCCAGTAAAGCGCACTGAGTCAAATACTGTTTACCTTTTTTTTTTTTTTTTTTTATAATTGTGAGTTTATACAAAACCACCAATCCTCAAAACTATCCATCTAAACAAGTAATTTAATCTCAGATTTAACCTTCTTAATCTTCCTTAAAATAAAGAATAGAAGGTGTGAAATTATCATTTTTATTCGACCAGTCACGCTTGTTCCAGGACATTTCTACACTCTCCATTCTTTTGACTCTCAAAGTCAATATTTTGTACCAAGACTGTTTAGATTATTACTTCACTGCGATGATGAAAACAGGATTTACTGGATCCTTTGAGGGCTATAACCTCATCTGAACTATAACCACAGTGCTCACCGTGTTTTGTCTCGGTAGCTCCGAGGCGAGGTAACTTTGGGTTTTTGACAAGTCATCGGTGTTTTCATAAGGGTACAAGGAACACACGGCACAGACGAGCAGTGAGCCAAAGCAAACAGCTGGTGTTTGGAGGTTGTTCGTTTGACCTGAGTGGGCTCCCATGAGCATACCTGCCTAATCACCACAGCAACGTGTATACATATGCTGTAGACTTTACTGACAATATGCTCTGAAATACAAAGAATTCAGCCATATATCATATGTGTTATGCTAATAACGATGAGATGGAAAAGCTAACAAACATGAAATTGCTTATTCATCATAAGTTCACGGTTTTTCAAGTCAGTCATAAAATAGGTGCCCTATATTTATCAAAACAGGTTTTGTTTGCTGTAATCTTTCCTCCTGTTCATACTAGCCATTAAGAGATCCGTTGCTACTTTAACCAACCAATCCTTTAAGTGTTGTTTGCTATCACTTCCTCTTAAAATGACTGATATGCTCTGACACAATAAGATCACTGCTCTATAATAAATCTATTCCACTCAGTGTAATCCGGTTGCTGGGAGTTGTGGCTGCATTGTGAGACAGCAGCCGCTTGTACTGAATACAATACGGAACAACAGCACCATCTTGTGACCACGTGAACTTACATCCTCTTGAATTGTTTTTTCTCATAATATTGATTGGATGGCTGCGGTTTCTCACTCTCTCTCGCAGTTGGGATGTAGTGGACGTTGTTGTTCTGCAGAACACAAAGCAGAGTCAACATAAGCGAGGATACTCTTCCCCATTTCTCCCTTGAATCAGGCAGAAAACAACACAGAATAACTTGTTTATTGTGGAGGCGTGTGTGGCTGAATAACTTTCTAAATGACTCTGGCGTTTCTTTGTTTACCTTCTCTTTGCCATTGCTGCTGCTATCATCCCTCTCCCAGGTTGACATGTTGTCAGTCCCAAAAGGGGGCTCTGCTGGTTGAAAAGCTCCAGGGTTTTTCTCCTCCTCACTGTTAATTAGACAGTATAGAGATATGACATGTATCCTGATAGCTGGAATATATGATGAAGATTAACAGCAGATATCAGTTATTATTGCGGTTGATTGTTACTGTTTGTATTGTTTTTTTTGGCTGCTATGAGCAGCAGGTAGTATTGTTAGTAATGGAGGTGAAAGTATTTTTAATTCATAAACTAACTACAAGTCCTTGTGCATGATAAAAAAACAAGACAAATGTTACCTCGGTTCGTGCCCGGGTGCAGTGCAGAACCAGCCTGCAGCTTTGTATGGCTCGGGTTTAGAAGTCATTATTTCCTCGTGCCATAAAAGTCCTGTTTGGGTAAAAGGGCGAAAATAAGTATAGGTAATATGCATCAACCAGCGAGAGGGGTGTGTCTGGAGAAGGGTGCGTGATGGCTCTACCCTTATGGCCGCCTTGTTTGGAAAGCTTGACAAAGTCAGAGTCACTCTCTAGGACTCCGGACCTCCGCCCTCGGGCCTTCTCGTCAGGAGGAGAGATGATGGTTTGGGACAGTCCTGGAATCTGGGAGATCTGGGCATTTATTCCTTGATACCCTGGTTTCACACCTGTAATGTTAAAACACACACACACACACACACACACACACACACACACAGTGAGGTGTAGCTCATTATTAATGATCTCTGTAGCATACAAAGTAGTAACTAAACTAAGTCAGCACAAACAGTTGTACTTGCCAGTCGATGGAAGATCGGTGCACGTGACACCTGAGACATTTCTATTGGAAATAGAGACAAAAACCCGAACACTGTCAACCTCTTCGACGACAGTTTGTAACACTTACCTTACAGCATCGTCATTAACGTTAGCATGGGTTAAGCTAACTAGCTGACTAATTTATCCAGTCCTCAAATTAAATACAAATTGTAAATGACGGCGCTAATAAGTCTGCAGGGAAAGGGGTTTGAAAACACAGCAATGACGGTGACTATGATGATTAAAGTTCAGTAAAACTCACTCTGAATACATTTTAGTTGCCGAGCGAGATGAACGGAGACTCTGTTTGGAACTTCTGACTGGCGTTACCGTGGAAACGGTTTGTATGTGCGGCCTCGAGCTCAACTGCTGCTCTGATGTGAGGAGTAGAAGAAGAAATATAGACGTCACTGTTAGGTAGGTATGTAGGTAGGTAAGTAGGTAAGTAGTTAGTTATGTAGGTAGGTAAGTAGGTAAGTAGTTAGTTATGTAGGTAGGTAGGTAGGTAGGTAGTTAAATAGGTAGGTAGGTAGGTAGGTAGATAGTTA